GAAGGCTGCAGCAAGGCAAGCTGAACGCCCTAAACCCCTGAAGCACTGTAGCAGCAGCACATGCGCGCTATCGCTCTGCAGCCACCTGCCTGCGCTAACACAAAGGGAAAGACAGAGACGGAGAGGGGGATAAGGCAAGCCCTTAAACCCTGCGTCTATTACTGTGCCTGTCCGAAACTCCCCCACTGCTGCTGCTGCTGCTGCTGCTGCTGCTGTGTCCGCTCGTGATCCTGAAGCGGGACCCTCAGACACCGGATACGCCAGTGCTGCTTGCTGCTGATGTTGCTGCTGGCGGTGGTGCCGTGGACTTCCAACCTCGCTGCTAGTCGCTGTGGAGGCGCTGCGGGGAGTTGTGATATCCACAGTAGTAGCAGCAGCAGCGGCAGCAGCAGCGGACGCTGGTGCTGCTGCCGCAGGAAACTCTGCATTGGGTGGAGCGGGGCAAGGTCTTGCCATTGCGTATCTCTTATCAGACATATTAATCAGTAAGTAACTGAAAGGATGCGATAAGTCCATGTATGAAGGGATGAGGGCGGAAAGGGCAGATGAGCTGTCGCCCCTATCGCATAAGTAAACCCTCTCATCTACTTCAAAAAGACCTGAGCAACGAAACAAACAAAAGAAAATGTAAAGGTGAAACGTTGAGTACAAGCAATGGAAAAAACCAGCTAACGAAGGCAGAATTAATGCACCACCAAAGCATACTTCAGCTGCAGATTTCTCTCAAAGAACTAAGTCTGGTACACCATAATTCACGAAAAACACCGCGAATCTTTCTGAACCCTAAACCCATAGCCGTGATAGCTGACCGGAAGGCCTGAAGAGTTGCTGCGCCGACTGCCCGATCTTCTCCGCCACAGAATTTGCTGCTGATGCAGCGAGCGACATAACTAAGCTGCCTAGTGATGTAGCAGCCGGGATCCCTCCCACAGTTTCTGGCTCGGCCTCTGATTCAGAGCCGCTGTCGCTGCCCGCAGCAGAGCCCGTGTTGCTGTTGGTGTTGCAGCTCAAGCTACTCGAATGCCCCGCATTCTCCTGCTGCCTCTGCTGTTGTTTCTGCTGCTGCTGTTGGGGGTGGCTGAGCGGTATAGAGGAACCCCAACGCATCGCGGACAGCCGCTGCTGCAGCTGCTGAAGTTGTTGGGCGAGAGAGATCCCTGCAGCAGCAATGTCCTCTTCGCCGGACGCTGCTGCTCCACCTGCAGGAGTTTCTTCATCTTCTTTTGGTGTTGTTGCTGCTGCAGCTTCTCCTGGGCATACTGCAGCAGCATTTGCATCAGGAGCCACAGGTGCAGCTGCTGCTGCTTCTGCGGGTTCTGCTGCCTGTACTTCACCGTCTTCTGCAATCACGCCAGCAGCTACTCCCTTTTTCAGCCGAACAAAAGTAGTTGCGCTCTTCGTTTGATCACATTCTTCATACCCCTTCAGCTGCTCCTCCTTGCCAAGCATTGCGGAGAGCCGTGGAAAACACGCAACTGGACACGCCCGGTTCAGGGTTTGCGTTTCGTCGTCGAAGGTGACACAGCTCCAAAGACACAGAATCACAAGAATACCCCCCGACAGAAGGCTGGAAATGAAGGAAAGACAATATTCGGGCAAGACAAGTCGCACAGGAGTTTCGCTTCTCTCGCCCGCCAGAGCCTCCAGTAACACGAACTCCTTCGCCGCTGCAGAAATTACAATTTCGAGCGAAAAGTGGAGGCTTGGACTTAATGTCTAGGGTTTATGTGGTACTTCACGCAAGGACCGCATGTTTTTGGGGCAATGCAGTTAGCAACGCAAGTAGAGGCAGCTGGAAGCCTCCAGCAGACTGCGATCACATACTCGGGTTCCGCACACGCAAGCCCTACACTGTGAAAACCAAGCCTAGCACATTCAAAAACGATGAACAGCTCATTACACCTTGGAAACGAGGGACATTAAATGCTTTTATACAAATAGATCTAACATTTGACGCGGCAAGTTAGCAAGATCGGCCATCACCTGTGTCTCGCCGTAGTGTTTTCTTTTTCCCTTGCAAATTCATTGCTCCCGCCGTCTTATTCCTGATTTACCGCTCGCTTATTTTATGTATTCCTATCTAGCCAGCGCCTAAATTCTATTCTTCCATATTGTTCGTTGGCACTCACCCACCTGAGGCAATAACAGCTGAGAAGGCTTCAGCTTCGCGAATAGCATTTATCAACGTCTGATTGTGTACGTCTTTGAGTAGGTCACATTTTTTGCTCATTTGCATTTGAGTCTTTGCCAGAACCTGGACTTCCACGCGGAAGACAGTTAGTCATAGGAACAGTAGCAGCAGAGTGCGTGCTCAGGATGCAACGCCTGGTACTGCCGCCAGCACACAGAATGAATGAAATGGGGAAGAAGAAGATTTTTGAGCATAGGACAGCGGTGAAGGACCCTGTAGTGTGCTGACGCCGTAAAGTGGAGAGTTTAAAGCATGCTGCAGGCCCGTGCTTCTCCGGCCATACTTAATTTTCCGAAAGTTCACAATACTTACGCACGAAAGAGCATAGAGACTTCCTTCCGAAGTTCTACAGCACGTTTTTTTCAGGAGTAGACGGAAGAGCAGGCCCTCCCTACATCTATTCGAACATGTTTCGTTCGTTTTCACTTTTCCGTCTAGCAATGTCTGGATTATTGTTGACTGTTCTATTCCTAACATATATCATAGGAACAAGTATGTGCTTTTCCCGCTGTTACTTCAAATCTGCATCCCTGCCATTACCATATGAAGATCTACAGTCAGATTTTGGCTTTCCTTTCGGGTGTCTTGGCAGTTCTGTAAACGGCCTGCGCACCGCAAGCTAATCTCAGAATAAATGGCAAAGGCAATCCCCAAAATGTATCTAAGTCGTTTTGTATGTATTTTTTGCATTTGCCAAGACATATGTGTCTTTGGAAAGAATCTTTTTCATGGCGAAACAGGACCCAACTATGGATTCGGTGAGGTGTCAAGTTGTCGCTTTACGGAGAAACTCAAGTATTGTGGCCTCGCAGATCTGACAAAAGCAGATATTGTTGTTGTGGACAGCGTCAGCAAGACAGTTGTGCCGAATAGTTCAAACCCTTACGGCCAAGTGATTTACATAAAGTGGGCGTGTACTGTTTCCGTTTGGCATGTTATTTCCATGGCTGCTATCACGGCGCAAACAGGAGGGGTGGGGGCTGGGTGATGAATATCGGCACGAATCCAATGACAACGTAAGATTAAGAATCTATTTTCAATGCCTTCGCCTCATATGCTAGCTCGCAACTTTCCAGAGTCATAAACGACGCAAAGGAGCTACCAGTGCGCATCTCGTATTCCGTAAGCACAGCAGGAGGGCTGGCAGTTCGTCTAGCTTCTTTTCGGCAGTCTAGAGTTGAGTGGCTGACTTTAACTAACTATTCAGACGGAGAAAAGCCCAGATGCGCGAGTTCTTCTTGAAGATAACACCGGCACGCTAGTCGAGGGTTCCACTGAGCCACTTGACTACCGGCCTGCGCGACCAGCAGACCCTATAGAACAACAGAGAATGTTCGCTTTTATCTTCATAAATATATTTGTCGTCCGCTCTTGATATCTGAAACTATTTAAACAGGCAGAAAAAGATAATGCAACACACGGGTTTTCGCCCTGATGCTGCAGACTTCGTGTTTGAGGTGACTCTCCTCTATACTCTTTTCCCCACAGACTTACCTATTTATTTTGCCCGTAATAGAACGGGAAAGATCACCGAGTGGAACTCATGGAAAGCTTCAACCCAGAGGGGCTGCTAGTGGAAGTTCATCACGCCATCGGTTTAACAAATGTGAGGAGCCCCGAACACAGCAAGACAAAAAGGGAATTTTGCAGCTTTTGTAATTTTACTTAATTATGAACTATCCAAATGTACAGGTAGGGGCTGCCGCAGTGACATTCTTGGCTAATCTTGCACAAGACGGGGTTGTGTTGTACGAGCTCTCCAGCTCGTTCGGCGGCTCCAAGAGGCTAATTGTCAGTGCATTTGCTCTTCACACCAGCCTCTCATTATGCTAAATTTGCATTTGCACGCGTTGTGTCAATGCGTATGTAAAATACAGGTATACAATGCAGGTAAATAAGAACAGCCCCCGTATTTGAATCCAGCAACTCAACTATTTCTGCTCTAGGCACACTGCTGTCTGAAGCTCCAGTGGTTTCTTTCAAGCAAAGGGAACTCATTTCAGCCCCTAAAATCGAGTCTTCTGCTAGGAAGACAGCTTCGGACGCCGCTGGAGGAGCTGCTGCTCCACAGATGGCTACCTCGAGCACTGGAAATTCAAGTAAAGGGTCTGACGGAGAGCACATCCAGGCTCCAGTGCCCCTTGCAAAAACTCAGCCTCAGTTAAGAAGCATTGTCAAGCATGAAGAAAATTTAGGGGAAGAGAGGGAGGCAAAAGAAGCCTTACAGGGCATTGTTGCAGCAGTTATCATGGCGGCTCGGCTACCTCCAAACAGGGACTATTCCTACGTTTGAGAACATAACGAATAACTTTCTTCCACTGTGAAATGAAAATGCATAATATTGATGGCAAATATTGACGTTACATCGATGATCGTCAGCGATTCAGGTGGTTTCAAGCGCAAACAGAGCAACAGCGCCATGCACTTGCGATGGCCCCCACAAGAATGCAGTTGCGGATCTCGGCTCATGATTTTGCAAAATTTCAGCATTTATTAATTAATCTTTTGCAAGCATATCCCTTGCAGGAGCTCTAGGCTCCAAAGAATTTACCGAGAATCCCACAGCGCCCAAGACCAGACCCTCAAGGGTGTGCGGGACTTCCGGTGTCACTGTCATAATCTTCCAGTGATCTGCTTAGCGCCATTATTCTCTATTAATTAGGAGGGATTAAGATGAAGGTCAAACGAGAACGGCCCCAATAAACTTCAGTCCGGCGTGGGGGTCCAGCCTCGCCGCCGTATGTTCGTCCTCACAGCTTCATAGGCGTCCCTGATGTAGTTTTTCCGGGACGCCCAGCAGCCAGTTCAAATGCTCAGAACTCAGCAGCCCGCTGCTGCTCTCCGGCTAACACGAGCCTACAGAGCACCCTCCGCTGTAGAGAGACTAGCGGGTCCAGGCTGCTGTGTTTACAGCGGAGGGTGCTTGCCAAAAAACGCCGATCTCCTTTACTTCGCGACAAGATACGTTCATTCCTTCTCGAATCTGCACAGGGCTAGTCACACAGCTAGCTGCCGAGGGAGCAGGTGCTGGCTGCACGCAGCAGCACAAGCAACAGCGGCTGCATCTCCTGGCACTGGGGTAGCTTCTGTCGCGTCGCTGCTGCCTCAAGATGCTGCGCGGGCTGAGCAGCAGGCGCTGCTGTCTTTGCTGCATGAAATTGAGAAGTCAAACAGCAACGCCGTGAAGGTGTCACTGAGGGTCTTTCATTTGCAGCAGCTTGCTGCCATACGCGGCGCCTCCTACTTGCGACTGCAGCAGCACCCCGCCGTGGTGCAGCTCATTGAGGAACTGACAGCTGCAGCAGCAGCAAAGCCCGGAGAGTTAGCAGAATCAACGGGAGAGTTATCGCCGCCGCAGCTGCACGCGCTGGTTCGCTGCTGCTGCAAACTCCGGCTCCCCGGGACCCACCCTTTGTGGAAATGTTCTCTTAAGCAGATGCTGAGGTATACGAAGGCAAGTTTATGCCGTGGATTCTTCACTTGAAATCTCTCAAATTCTGAAGCGTGCTAAATTAGCCGTACTGCCCTATCAGTGAACTCGCAGCGAAATTTTAGAGCTTTCAACGGTTTGCTGTTGCTGGCGTGTGCCTTGTGCTTCGGTTTTTGCTGCCTCCAGTTTCTGCTGCTGTGGCTACTTCCTGTTGCTGTTGCAGAAGGGCAGTATGTCTGTGGCGGAGGCTTGCAGCAGCTTGAGATGCTTTGCTGCTGCATCTGCTGATGTTGACCGCATGCACTTAGCAGCATTAATGCAACACGTGCTACGCGATGCTGGACAAGTTAACGAATACGATGCGGCCTGCGTCTTATATTCCATTCGCAAGTAAGCGCTGCCCTAGGATTAACAGACACTGATAGCTCTATTATGTGTACTAGGCACAGTGAAGTCTAATGGCAGGCCTCAGGGTTTAGGGCTTGTGCATTGCAAAAGGTATCATTTTAATCCTCGAGCTGAGTTGGAGCAGCAGCTTGAAGTTGTTGAAGCGCGCGCGGCAGAAGATGGGGTGGCAAGCAGCCCAGTTGTCCGGCTGGCAGCCGAAAGTCTTCACCAAAAACAAAAGAGCAAGGCCCGCCGAGTTGACAGCAGCAAAAGTGACACCAGGACCAACAGCAGGAGCTTAAGTAAGCTCAGCCTGAAGATGGCTCGTGTCTGTGCGTGGGCTCTGGAGCGGCGGGCTACAACGGCCACTCCAAAGTCCCTCGTCTGCTGCTTGTACGAATACGGGTTGCTGCAGCTGCTGCCCTGGAGGCTACTGCTGCTGCTGCTGAAGCGGCTGCGGCAAAAACAGCAGCTGCAACAGCTCGACGGCCAGGGGCTTGCTCTCTTAGCTTTGTCCCTCTCGCTGCTGAAGCAGCGAGAGACAAAAATCATGAGGAGAATTGGGTGGGTGGTTCAGCAGCGGGAACAGGAGCAGCAGCAGCCTCAGCAGCAGCGGGCGCCCCTGCAGGAGGATGTGCTCGCACTTTTGAAAAGGAGGGAAGGAGTGCGCAAGGAATATTCGCCTCAAAGTTTGTGTTTGCTGCTGCATGCAACAGCGAAACTCAGCCTCAGGGAAACAGGCATCATTTGCGCAGTCTGCGCCCGCATTGAGAGGTGATCAACACCAGCTTTCCAGAGGCGTTTGCCTCTCCTTGTTTTGGAGTATCACCTGCCGTAATTCAGCCCTAATTCAGCTGGCTAGCTAACACTACTAGCGTTGCCCTCCCTATGGTACCACAGCGCGATGAGCTGCAGACGGGCGTATGAAGCTCAGGTGCGTGCGCTGCAGGGCAGGCAGCACCATGACAAACCAGCAACTCGTGATATGCGCTGAGGCGCTCGGTCTTCTGGGGGTTAGGCATGAGGCAGCATGGCAAACAATCAACAGCCTCTTGGCGGTACGGGGATTGCTGTTTTCTAAAGTGTTGACGTTGATCTGTTGCTGTTTGTTTCATTATCGATATCGGCTGCGCTTTTAGAATATCTGGAGCCGCTGCTTCTGCTAATTTTGCCATACAAGGGATGATCATGGGGAACTTTTCCAGGGTGGCTACTTCTAACCCAGCAAGCTTCAGCATCCATCTTCTTCGAAACACGGGGATGCACTGTTCCCAATCGGTGCATCTTGCTGCTCCGGATGGTGTCTGTGGCTATGCAGGAGAGGCACCGGAGTCTCTCTCCATGTGAAATTTCTCTGGGGACACTGGGGGCGTCAAAAGCAGCAGCCGCCGACCCCGAGACCTTGACAGCCCTCCTCAGCCAAGCCTTATCCCTTCAGGTGACTTGCAGTCACGCTTAATGGCTAGCTGTATGCTAGGTCTTGTAATTGCCAATCGCAGCGTGGTTGATGTGCTTTTAAAAACGACAAAAATAGGAGGAAAAGTGTGCAGTGGGGAAAGGAGGCCCTTCCTTTGGCTTTTGGCTAGCGGTGTGCAAGTTCGGAGTCCCCAGCTCTAGGTGTAACAGTGGGTGTTTTGAGTTGAGAGTCGCCAGTTAAGGGTGTGGGGAGCCGCTTGTGCAGCGCGGCTTCACTGGTCAACAGCTAGTCAATCTGCTAGACGGCATTGCCCTCTCTGGACAGGCGAAACAGGTGCCCAGGTTACCCCACTCCTTTGACCTAGCGAGCTGCCTCACCGGCTAGCTAGCGAGTTAATTAGCTAGCTGGGTGTCTGTGCTACGGCATTCGCGCTCAGCTCGCTACCTACCATCCATACCATGGCATGGCTCAAGTTGCTGTGCGGTTTGCAGCATATAATTGCCTCTTTAAAGTTGCTTGAGGCGTACATACAATTGGGGGAGCAAAGCAGCATTTGCAGGGCCACGCAACTGCGTCGTATTGCTTTCACATTTTTAATGGAGGTCAGGCGGCAATTCCAAGAAAACGTGGGAGCGTAATTCTTAGTTCTGGCCAAGCCAGCGCCAGTCAGTGCAGGAGCCTTAGTTTCTCATGTTTGTGAGCAGCCTAGAGACCGCTTTTTAGTTTGAACACGGATTTGCTTGCCCCATTGTGGCTAGAGGGATTAGGACTAACTATCACGGGTTTGGGGGTCCAGGACAGCTGAAGAACTTCAGCGCCGCAGGAATATTGAAGGGTAATCTTGCTGCTGTGCTGCAGTGTTCAGAAGCTCTTTCTGCTGCTCCACAGTCGGTGCAGTTGTTTATTGAGGCGCATCAACAGCCGTTTCAAGCAGTAGAGCCTCAGGTGATGTTTAGTGCCGAACTGTGAACCCTGTCATAGGAGCTCACCTAGCAGTTGGCGCTGCCACGTTTGTCCTCGATATGCAGACATTGGCCATAAGCATTTTAGGGCTTACACTGTGGAGCTCAGCCAGCTTTTGATTCTGCAGGCATACCACAAAGCTCTGACTCGAGCAGTTCATCGTTTAATCGGGTTTGAGGAAGAAGGGCCACGCAAAGTGGGACCGTACATGGTGGACACACTCCTCAAAGCTGAGTGAGTAGATTACAAGATGCCTGATGCAAGAGGACTTTGGCCGGTTGTGACTATCTAGGATCTAGGCTGCGGCTTTGTGCATCAAAATAATTGCAATTCTGGGCCTAGCCTTAAGCTGCATTTGTTCCTCACGTTCCACCTAAAGGCTCAGTACTACCTTTCAGATTAAGTGTGATGCAGAGCAAAATATTATGAGAACTCTTGCGCGTAGGAATATTCACGAACCCTTGTCGCTGCTGCTGCATCAGCAAGAGGACCTCGCTGGCAACACAGATAGGAGCAGCTGTGACAGCAGCAAGCGGAGTGACATATGCCTGGACTTGCTGTCTGAGGGATGCTATTGCCCTCTCTCCGGGAACCTATTGGGGGCCGCTCTCTTGAAGGCGAGGCACCTGCAGAAGATGGGTTTCCTGTACTGCAGCATCAGGCGACAACAGTGGCTGGACGCTGATGCTGCGAAGCAGCAGCGATTGGTGCTGCATGCACTTCAACAAGCAGTGAACGCCAGGAAAGACGCATCCGCTTAGCGCAGCATCCTGCTGCTGCAGCTGTTGCTGCCTTGGGTTTCGTGTCGGCCGCTTATTCTCAGCTGCAGGAACGCCAGTTTCGTGCCGAAAGCAGGAGCCCTGTTATTTACGGGCATGCTTCAGGGAAAATGATTTATTTTTCCAGTCCAGGATTCGGGCTTTGGGCTTCAAGGCTTGTTGGTGGCGAGTTCACTGTAGTCATTGGGCTTCTTGAGGTGCAGCGTCCCCGAGTTGTCGAAAACCTAAGAGCATTAAGTGAGAGGCGTGGAAGAGGAGCCAAGACAGGTGGAAAGCAATTGACACCAGAGCAGCAGGCATGACAAGAAGGAAGATGATGTAACAGTACATGTGGGTGCAATATATAGTTTAGCTGTATGCTTATCGAAGCAGACGAAACATGAACAAAGAGCCAGCTCGAATGTGTGCATGCACAGGGTCCCGATAGTATTTGCACGCAGTGGTAAGTTGAGTAGCGTCAGTGACATTTTGACCCGCAACACAAGAACACACCGGAACATGCCCCACCTTAATTGGGTTTCCAATGGACCTGACTGGATCATATTCGACATCCACGCGACTGAAGAGGTCATAAGATTTGGGTTAGTACCTCTTAATTTTTATACCGTTTTTCTGCCCAAACGAGACAAAACAACGCAAAATTAACGGCAGTGAGCCTTACCCTGTGGCGTTGTTTATCAAAACATTCCTCTTAGGGTTTCCACCGAAATTCAAAATTTTCACGGTCGCAGCATTCACGATCACCCATTGGCCGTAAGGATTCGTGGAGATGGGTAGGTTCACCACGCTGCCCTCTTCATTTATGGGTATGATGTCTGAAAGGTGCTGTGATAATTCTCCCGCATTTCTTTTAATCGGTCCATGTTACAATATGTTCATGTGTATACTGTGAAGCTAATGTCGTTGTGCGCATGTAGCAAGGATTTGTGTGGATGCGTGTACTTGGTAACATAGATACAAGCACGACTACAGCAACACAGCGAACAAGGTGAGCTTCTAGACGACAGAATAGGTGGAAGAGAGCAAAGGGGAGCGCCGGCAAAAGCCGGAGTGCAACTGACCTGGTGTTCCTTCCGAGTACAATATCTGCCGCGCCTGAATTTCAGAGGTACAGGAATGCATTCACTCGCGTATTCATGGAATATCAAAAGCACTGCAGCTCATAGGAGGACACTAAGGCGCCCGCAGGAACCGTTTAGGGCCTGCAAAACACCACTATGGCTTATATTTCGTCACACGACTTACCCGCGGAGGCATCTTGTCGTAGGTGTTTACGTGGGGCATTTCGCTTGTAAAGCCGACGTCAAACGCATCATTCATGAATGCCAGAGAAAGAACAGAGAACAAAAAGCAAATCAAGGTGAACATCGTGAGCTGCGGTGGTCTGTTGGCTGCTTCTGAAGCTGTGGACCTGTAAACCCTAGTTGTTCCAAGGACAATTGGCAGTGCAAAGGACATCAAGAAGCAACTTACGAGCACTTGGCAGGTGACCGGTAACCAATAGGATAACTTTGCTTGAGATCGGTGCATGGGGGAAATGAATCACGCACCAAAAGTTCCGCTTTCCATGCAACTTCTGGTGTCTAGGCAGCTCACACTGCCAAACATTGAACAAATCGACTTACACGACTATCCTAGCGCGTTCAGCTTTTCGTTGAGGCTTGGACATAAAATTAGGCTCTCATCGCAAGGAAGGGCTCTATGCTCTGTGTAGGTGTACGAAGTAAATTTTACTTGTTTCCCGCTTTTTATCTCGGTTTGTTGTGTTGGGCGCACTTGGATGCTCGTACATCACTCTGAAGTGGAAAACGTGGTGGAAGCAACCCTGTGACCCCTCACAGCTAAAAGCTGTGGCGACGTGTCGTTAGTGGAGATGCTGCTGATACTAGGTAGCGAATGTGCAGACGCTGGTGGGATCTTTGCGCTGCGGTGGACATAGCATCGTCTGGAACGGAACCGTTTAGTGTTTTCCCCACAGCTCTGCGCATTTCAGGCATTCTTATGGCAAGACAAGCAACACCAACTTGAAATGAGTCCAATGCAACGAGTTAACAAGAATTCGGAAATAGACGCGTAGGCAGAGTTGGGGAAGATGTTGGTGTACATTGATTAATTCGACGCCTCTTTTGCCTCTACCACAGTTGTCAAAGGACGGGAGAAAGTCCAGCGGTCTAGTTCTATATCACGATGAAGTACTTGAGCAGCTAACTCAGAAACAAAGGCTGTACTGCAAACCAGCGAGCACTTTCCACGCGCATAACATACATTTACTGAACTGATGACCCATTGCTTGTTGAGGTTAAGCTGAGAATACACCAGGTAGTGAAACATCAATTGAATTGTTTCTCCAGATATGATTGTAACGTTAGTACCCACGCGACCCTTTCCAGTTCCAGACCTACATTTTATACTGGAGTGCAAAGAGTTCAAGTTCGGTGGACACAATTATAACACTATTAAGGCAAACGTGACCTTCGCAGTTCAGGTGAGGTTCCTCAGGTCTCTCAGGAGTGTAAAAGGAACAACACTATTCCTTCTCCGCGAAAGAGAATAAGAACCAGATGCTTTCAGCAAATTTTCCGAGCAATACGAACTGCTTGGGCAGAACATCTGCTCCAGTCTCTCCCTCCCCTGGAAGTGAAGAAATATCCTGTAGTTTACTGACGATACACAGGTCTCCCAGAATTAATATTAAAAGACAGGCAAGACTGGCAGGAGAGGAAGCACTTTCCGGAAGTTTCTAGAGGCTAGGGAGTAACCGAGTATCCCAGGGCTACAATCTGTGTGTATGCCAAGAGGGAGGTACACAGAAACAAGACACTTCTTATTTACTCCCTCTCCTATTAGAGTAGAAAAAATGTTTGAAGAACCTGACGCTCGGTGAGCCACACACCTTCGGAATAACCGATGGTTCGGAGGACCAAGGTGCTCCTACAGAACTCCTCAACCAAGCCAGCCATTTCCCTTTTTAAAAAGAGAACGTAATTCGCTGCAGAGTAAACAAAAGAAGGCAGCTCCTCCGAACTACTCTGCATCCAGAATCAAAGTATTAACGCTAGCCTCTGGCGCGTCTAGGGCCACTAGTGCCCTGATTCCTCGATCTACAAGCAAACCTATGATATATATTGCATAGTAAGCAGAAATAATAGCTCAAAGCGCTTGCTTCTCTGACGCTGATAACTTGGCAGTAGACTGTTCCGCACAGCGCCTTCCCGCTGAGCAATCGACACTGTCGACACTGAGAAAAGCTCGAAAAAAGAGCACTCCTAATCTCTTATTGTAGCTTTTCTATGAGTTTTAAATAAGAAATTTTGTTTCTGTACTCATGTGCTCGTATTTTTTTGGCTCCTCTCAACTTTTCGTAATCCGTCGCTGCCTGCTTCACTGGTGCGAGCAGCAGCTAGCTGGCACGCGGCAGCGCAGTGTCCTCATCTCTGTTCACGGCGACCAGCTGTTGCATCTGGAAAGTTGTTGCTTCGAATCCACCAGTTCATTTCACTACTTCCAAGTCTTTTTTTCCTTTGAGCGGCTCAGCCTTCCAGATCGCTTTGGGTATCCTTGTGGCGAGGCGCATACTGTTCGAAGTCGCTGCTTGCTCGCCGACTCTGTATATCACTTTCTTCCTTGGCGTGGCTTTCTCAGTAGGCAGCTTTTATCTCGGGGTTTTATTTATTGCAAGACGACTGGAAGCTGCCTTCAGGACTTACCGTTCCCGGAAGCCACGTACGAACAGTTTTTCATTTTTCCATTGACTCACTTCCCAGTTTCATCCAATAGTAACCAGAGCAAGCCTCGGACGCGTGTTGACCAGGAAACTGTAGAAACTCACAGTTATTTCTTTCTGTGTCAATATATCTGAGCAATGGGGCGTATCCGGCGAGCAGCGGCGGTAGCAGGCTTGGGTATCACACTGTTGCCTAGGGATGGAACAGAGGCCTGGCTAGCACCAAACAGACGCCATGCAGAAGTCAGTGGAGCTTTTGAGGCACCACAATCCATGGTGGAGACACAGTGGGGCTCTCCGTACACTTACATCCCCCAGGTGACTGTTAATGAGAAGGCGGCGGACTTCTTCTTCGCATCCGTTCTCGAGTCCGTAGCGGAGTTGCCAGTTGAGGGCCAGGAGGGCCAGGAGGGCCAGGAGGGAGGCCAAGGGGGCGTGGAGGCTGGGGAAGGTGCAGAGGCGGGGCAGGGCGGAGATGCAGCGGCTCCCCAGCCCAAGGCCTGCGAGGCGCTGAACGCGGATGCCGACAGGAGCCACGTGTTCCAGACCATTCAGGGTATTGAGACGGAAGAGGCGTGCCAGAACTTCTGTGGGCAGACGAAGGGATGCGTAGCTGCCATTTTGGAGGGTTCAACCTGCAGCCTCATGAGGGCTTTGCGCGGGGTGAAAGACGGTAGTGGCATTCTGGTGGTTCAGACCTGCGACAACTCTTGCTTCGCCCAAGGCAGAAAACTGAGCAGCGAAGGCAAATCGCTCGGTACCGCCAATAATGCGAATATTTGCCAGGCCATGTGCCAGGGAGAGGATGGCTGCATTGGATTTTCTTGGAATCGAAGCAGCAAGGAGTGCACGTCACACCCGAGTGAAGTTGGATCCGCAGAGGATGAGGCCTCTGTGAGCGGGCCTAGAGACGGGTGCTCACTTAATGTGAGGCCTGTAGACCAGGCTGGCAAGTGCACGTTGCAAGTGGACCTCACAGGTGATGCCGGAAACCACATCGAAGCACCTAGTGTGTCCACAATTGAGCAGTGCAGACGCGAGTGTCTGTTGGACAAGGATTGTAAGTGGTTCACCTTTAACGAAGTAACAAAGATCTGTTACCACAAGAAGAAAGTGGGAAATATTGCATATGGCCTAAAAGGTGACCATACTGCTTCCAGGCTGTGCGACGCTAGCTGCCTCCAGAAAGATGTGAAATTTGCCGGCAACGCCTACAAGACCCTTAACGTGAAGTACATGCAGCTCTGCATATACAATTGCTTCATCGACTCCAAGTGCCAGCGGTGGAGTTGGGATTCAAAGTCCACAGCGTGCAACCTGTTCGACGGCACCGGCGCTGCCGACAGCTCGGCTAATCAAGCCGGGGTTTGGAGCGGCCCCAAGGAAGGCTGCGCTGCTGATACACTGTATGACCGGGAAGCACCGTCTTGCGCGGTACGCGGATCGCGATACGGCACCATTCCGATTTCTACCCAGACGGCTGAAAACGCGACGGCTTGCCAACAGCAATGCCAGAAGTCCTCTATGTGTGAGGCCTTCTCATACGATATTAAGGGGAAGGTGTGCTACTTGCATGTTGCGTATGCCGCGAAGTTGAAGCGTGTCAATTACAACTTTATTTCAGGCCCAAGGCAATGTGCGGGTTGTTCAACGAAGGGTAGTGAGTACAGTGGAAAGGCACTGCAGGAAATGGGAAGCGAAGTAGAGACCGCAGAGGAGTGCCAGCTGCTGTGCCAGGCGACAAGCGGCTGCGAAGTGTATTCCTTCCTGGGCTCTGCATGCAAACTCCTGGGCAGCGGAGAGACCAAGAAGAACGTGCTGGCAACGAGTGGCGTGAAGTACTGCACTGGCGTTTGCGACATTTTGGGCTTCCGGGCTCCCCGCAGGGAATTCGGGTACGCTTTGTTGCTCAAGAACAAGAGCCTTGATCAATGCAGAAAGGCTTGCGCGGCGGACAAGAAGTGCACCAACTTCACGAGCTGGCTGAATGGGGATTGCTATGTCAAGGATGACCAGGACCACCGGATGCAGGAACCATTGCCGGAGGCTACAACCGGATGGCTTTCGTGCTCTACATGCTTCCGTCAGGGCGTTGGATACAAAGCAACTGAGGCGAACTTGCTGTGGACACTCCCAACCGAAAACGCAGAGGAGTGCAGACAGAGGTGTGAAGCGATGGAGAGCTGCGGGCGATTCAGCTACGACGCGGCAAGCAAAGCCTGCTCAATGCTCTCTGGTGAAGGCGAGGATGTTGAAGGCGAAAACCTCGTGTCAGGACCCCCTCGGTGCACCCGTCGCGACACTTGCTACCAGGACGGGGTGTCATTCACAGGTGGCAAGGCTATTTCTGAGGCAGAGGCAGCTTCTTCTCAGGCGTGCCAGGCGCTGTGCGAGAAGGACGCCAAGTGCAGATTCTTCACCTTGGCTTCTGGGAAGTGCAGCCTGTTCGCAGACGACGCAGCCCTTCGGCCTACGAAGTCTGACGGAGCGGTTTCAGGAAACAAGAGGTGCATTTTGCTGGAGGACATCTGCGAGGAAGCCAACATTCAGTACAGCTCAGGCGACCTCTATGATTCTCCGCTGACAGCAAAAAACGCGCAAGAGTGCACGGCGCTTTGTTATAAGGACCCGCAGTGCCGCATCTGGACATTCCTTGTGCCAAAGCAGCAGTGCTTTTTGAAGTCCATCAATGGATTTTCCAACCGTGCCAAAGCCACAAGCGAGAAGAAGTCAGGAGGGCGCTTGGGCTGCGCCAGATGCACGCGTTCAGCCATAGCGTTCGGAGGAAAGGAACTCCAGACGGTCAGCGGCCTTCCACACGAAACAGTATGTCAGTTTGCATGCGAGCTGAACAAACAATGCAAATTCTTCACATTTGACCAGAGCAGCAAATCTTGCAAGCTCTTCGCTTCTGACAGTGAAAGATTGCAAGCAGAGAACACGGTTCTTTCCGGCCCAAGGCGTTGCTAAATTGATTTAGCCGGAACACCAACATACAGCGCCATAACATGCCTCACATTAGCACGCCTTAAAACTGGCGTCAGGCATTGCCTGACGCCTGCTGTGAAAAACACACGCGTGCATTTTTCACACAACCAATTTTTCCGGCGGACATAAACTTGCAGCGTTTGACTCGTCGTTGATGGACTGCACATTTCTTGTGAAGTTTTGTACAAGCTGGATCTTTCGTAGTGGCTGAACGAAAAGTGGTCTTCCTTCGAAAAGGGGTAGTCCTATGGCCAGAGCACGTAAGGAAGAGGCAGGGATAACCGCTGTCAAAAATACGGACTAGCTCATGGGCGGTGCTTTCCTAATGTGTGCTACTGGAAGTTTTTTTAAGATAGGAAACCCTTTGAATAATACGAAGAACCCTATGTCCCGACTGTAAGACCCTGAGCAGCTTATCTGTTCTAGAAAATTAGTTGGCTGTAACATTTATTACAAAGTAATGCTAATACCATAAAAAAAAGGATTAAATATTCGCTTGGTCAAGATGTACGTATGGTTGGGAAGTCTTCGTGACACCAGGCATGCAATGCAAAGATGTGTCTGCAAGGTGATGTTTGGTGTTTACTTTCGAAACTTTGTGCTCCACCGTTAGTCTCTTACCTTCACACGCGTTTTTGAGTGTCTGACCGTTGGCTCGTTGTGAGCAAATGTACGAAAATAACAAGTCATTGTATAGTTGAAACATCAGGAAATGCGAATACAAGAGAAGTGGTCCTGGTTGCTTTTCCAGGGTCAGGTCTGCGGACGTAGATGCGTTCCATTCCGTGGAATTGCCCCTTAAGAAGAGATAAACGCGCCAGTAGCTTCAGAAGCAGTTCAGTGGTGAATGGGGAATCGGTGCAGCCGCTTTCCAGAATGCCTGTGCATCAGAAGAAGAAAATAAGCACTGCAAAACAGACAGCTTCCGTGTCTGTTTATAAGAGACCCCTCAGCATTCACTACTGAAGTAACTTAGCTCATTTTTTGACAGCCTCATCTCTAGTGGAAACGCTCCACTGGAATTTTGGGAGTTTATGAATTGACTAGAAGGTTGCAGGTCTCCTGTGCAATGTGTACTCCGGAAGTGTATGCTTAACGTTGTGACTACAAATATTGGGAAGTACTGGCAAACTCTGGAAATGAATCAATATGCAAGCACCCGTCAAGCAACTGTTTCTATAACGCTATGCCTTATTCCAAGATGCATAAAAAGCAGATGTGGAAACAATTGCGGCCTATGAGTAGAATACTGTAATCCCAGGCTACACAGAAGTTACTGATTGACAATGGAAGCAGGCAAGCAGGCCCTCATCCCGTTTAAAATGAACATTTCAACTGAAGAAGTTTCACCAGGTAGGTTTCAGAGAAGTCGCATATCGGGTCTGTAGGCCTAATTTTACAACATGTACTCAACGCTCAAATTTCTGCTACAGCCAACGCTCTATTGCCGAAGTGCGTGTTTATAAGGCCCTGAATCCTGAGAATAGAGGCACCCTCAGCAGTCGCCCAGATGATTGTAATGGCCCTCCTGCTTCCGTGGAATCGAAATGGTTTTGAGGCGAGTTCCACCACGAATGCAATACAATCACACTGGCACGGTCATACATGCATGCGCACCATCAACGGCCAGCATCAAAATAAGGCTCCTTGCATGCCTTGTAGAGTCGGCGTGAGCAGCGGCACCTGCTATACCAGCGATTCAGCAGACGTGGGATAATATTAAACGAGTGTCAGACTGAAGGGAGGATGACTTGCCGTTATATCTGGGCAAGGGACAGAGAAGTACAGTTCCACAGTTTGTCTACAGCTGTAAACAGTTGCGCCCCCGACGTCGAAATCTGGATTCACGCGCTGCTGCTATTTGGGCAATAATTCACTAAATGAGCTGCTTACAAGTGTCTGAGTTGAAAATGCAGTCACTGGTATATTTTCGATTATTAAAATAAACGAATCGTTTAGTACTGATTGTGGCGATTGTTGCTCATGCTAAGCGCTTAATCGATTTTGTTCCCGTCGTGAGGCACTCCTCGGGAAAAAGCCCTCCCATTAACTCGTTCTCATCCAGGATCCCCCGAAACTGATTGCAAACCAAAAGCTGTGCTGGAGGATGTGGCACTCATGGCTCCTGTGTTGCTGCTGATGCAGCTTCTGCTGCTGGCGGCAGAAGTAGCTGCGGCCGCCCATTCCATGACTGCAGGGTGCGACGCATCGAATACCTCAGATAAGTCTTCCTCAAGCTCCACCAACAGCCAGTCGTCGGAATCCAAATCAGCATTTCCTACAGAGAAGGCAGTATAGAGGTACGTGTTCTGTCCAAGTTTGTTGTCTGCTCTGCTAGCTTGTATTCCTACGATTCACCTCCCCTTCTGCTTACGCATGTCTCCCTTGCTCTGCTGTAGCACTGCATCTGCTCCCCACACAAGTGGGTGCAATTCCCATCCTCATTTGGTTTGCACCCCTCATAGCTGTCTAATTTCAAGTCAGCCATCTGCTGTCTGTCTTAGTCCTCAACCAACAAAGCAGCTAAAACGGGAAGCATACGAAAATCACAGATACAGCCCAAACGCAACAACAGGAGAGCGCATAAACTTGTAGAAGTTCCCCCGGAAGCATACCTGGCGATCTCTCTTCTGGCGGATAAAGACGCGGCGTGTTGGACGGCCACACCCTGAATTAAAGGTACAAAACGGGATCCAAAAGGCCCACCGTAAGCAAATGTGTTTGCGCTACATAGTCACCGGGGTTCATACACACCTTAGAATGCCTTCGTCTTGCTCCCACTACCACACAAAATTACATTTTATCACGTGTTACGGTTCATTCTACAAATACGCTAAATTCCATACAATCCTCTAAATACAGTGCCGAGTTTGCATTCCTAAGTGCTACCACACGACAAGCATTGTGTTCTATGCTTGCATGGTGCATTACCCCTTCCACAACTAAGAAGAAACTCATACTGCGGACAGACAAGGAGCAGATAATGTGTACACGATGTAAAAGGGCCAAGCGCTGAGAGAAATTGCATATCGGCAACAGCGCTTGGGGGATGACTGCTGCAGTTGAATGCTTATGCAATCAACAAGACAGTATGTGACACTAACGCATTGCACGTACTCCACTCCACAGGCAGAACTAACGCACTTTCCGAAATCTGGAGAGTTTAAAGCCGCCATCATCATCCCCAAGAGGCCGCCTGCATGTCCAAACACCGCCACCTGAAAATCCTAGAGAAATGACCTCTAAGGCGTAAGCGCCCTCCACGCATCTTCACTAGTTTACAGCTTGTACAACGGACTTGGCAGCAAAGTACGGTCCGCGAAAAAGAACGAGAACCCAACCTACTAGAGAGCTTATTGCGTCTACACAATGATTTATGTACGTCCACTGCCTTATTAGGCACACGCTAATGCTTTCACTTTCTACGGGCCAGTCGCATGAAGACTTTACTAGGTTCTGACAAGTACACAGGCGCGTGTATCGTATGTATACTACATATGAGTTCACAGCTTACCTGGAGGGTCTGAAGAAATCTCGACTCCTTGAAAGGTGCAAAACGCGAACACATTTGGCTTTAGACCCTCAGCTACTTCAGTTAAATCCCCCAAAGAAAAAAATATGCATCTCCTGCGCCAGATGAGGGAACCACAGTATCCATTTGCGTAACTTTCATGCGCAGATTTACGGCACATTTCCGTCGTGTGTGGCTAGTGCATGTAATAAAGTATCTGACTTGAGTGACGAATATGATGTCTCAACCACATTATGAACGCAATTAGATCAATGAATATGATATTTCAGTCATAGCAGAGAGGCAATTGCAAAAATAGGTTAGTAACGGAGGGAGTGTAGCTGCGCTCATTGAAATGCTTCCTCATCTGCGCTTGCTTGAAGTGTTTCAAATGCGCCCCACTGTCTTTGTATCATATTATTGGAGAAGTAAACAGAGTAGAGCACATGCTTGCCGTAAAGTACGCATTATGCGATACATATAATGCAGGCATCTATGAGTTCGATTAGGGGCCTGGAGGGCATGCGGCCACAGCGGCATGCACACATAAAAAGTCAACAGCGGGTATCATGTTTACATCATGTGCAAATGTGAGAGCAGGCTCCCTCATACGACTACATACGTTAATTTGTAAGTAGGCTTTAAGGCCACATTGCAGGCTACTGCTTGCTGCGATTAAAAGACAACAGCATACCTTGCTGCTGCATCAAGCAGCACTGGCGATGCTGGATGGTTGTTGTTGAGCAGTCGCAGCAACTGTTGGATCCCTTGCTCTTCCTGCGTGTCCGCTTCTTGCTCGCTGCGAACTAGTTTCTCTCTGTATTGATGCAATTGCTGAAGGCGGTGCATTCGTAGCAGTTGCTGCTGCTCTCGCCTAGACGCAGTCAACGCTAGAGAGCCAAATTTGCAGCGCACACCGCCCGGTGCCGCCTCTTCTGTATTCTCCTCTATGCCAGCAGTATTACGACGAACTGTAACCCCGGAAAGAGCACCCAACGGCCTTTTCCTGCAGCAGTTCACACTGTAGTGCCTCGTCAATTCTCTCTGCCGCGGGTGGACCTTGCGCTGTTGCTTTTCCTGCAGCGGCAAGGAACAATTCTCGCCCTGGCATTGCTCTGAGAGCACCTGCTGCGGAACATGAGCTACACTGCAGCGGGACTGGATGCTGCAGCTGTATGAGCTGCCTGCCATGGCTGATCCTGACACTGGGGCGGAGGCTGCCAGTGTTGTCGCAGATGCAACTGCTGCAGCCATCTGCTGAGCACTCCATGAAAACAAAGGTAGAGAGCTCCGCAAGATATCCTGTTTCAGCCGATGCTCTTGCTGCAGCTGTCGCCTTCTCCTCGCTTGCCGTTGCCGCACTGAGAGCTCGAGCAGCACGCAGTCTGACTCCTCGCTCTCATCCTTTCGAGAAGCAGCGCTACCAGAGACTTCATAGGTTTTCGTCTGGTGTGGGGGCGTTTGATCTGGTCCTGGCATTTGTATGCTGCAGCCATTGATGTTATCCTGGCGGCCTTCAATAGCCCGAAGACACGCCTTGCTAGCATTTGACACGGCAGTATCAGTGAAGGCTGCTGCAGCAGCAGGTGCTGCAGCAGCAGGTGATACAGCAGCATAAATTTGAGGAGGAGCAGAAGCACGCGGAGAAACAGCCGAAGCCATGGTGTCAGATATGATGCTGCTTAGGAGGTACTGCCCTTTCTGCAGCAGCCGTGACACAGGGTCATAACGTGAGGTGTTCCCTCCGTTGACGCTGCTGCGGCTGCTGCTGATGTTGTTGCTAATGTTGCTGCTGCTACTGCTGCTATTGCTGCTGCTGCTACTGCCGTTTTTGTTCATGCTGCTGCTGCTGCCGATGGCAGCGCTGCTGCTGCTACTGCAACTGCTGCTGCTGAGCTTTCCTTTTCTGTAAGCAGCAGCACCTGTTGCAAGCGTGTACACGCGGTCGAGAAACCCAATTCCACTGGCAGAACTGCAGTTTGGCTTAGCGAGCTGCTCCCGCTGTCTTTGCTGATGCTGGCGCTGCAGCATACAGCGCTCGTCTGCTTGCACGCTGCCTCCGAATTCAGGTTTGCTAGCCTGCAGGCTACTGATATCAGTGCTCATGTCATTGACATAACCAGTCCCAATTCGGCAAGACTCCTTTAGAGAAGAACTACTGCTGCCTCTCCCTCCTGCTTCGTGGCTTTTGAGCATGCCGTTACTGCTGCTGCCGAAGCTGCTGGTGCTAACACTGCTAGTATTATCTCTGCCGATTTGCTCCTGAGCAGCCTGCACCGCCCTTGACGGCACTGGAATCCGGGTTGCCCCTGCCACAACACTACTATCAATTTTTACTGGGGGAGCCAAATAGAAGCTGCCACTGACGGGCTGCTGTACCGCGCAGCCTCGTGGGGGTATTTGGTTCTGCTGCTGTTGTTCCTGCCGCTGGTCTGCCTCAATCAGCTTGAGGACCGAAGCTCGGCTCTGCTGCTTTCTTCGTAGGCTATTTAAGTGACTGTGCAGCACTTCCCTTAGCCGCTGCTGCTCCAAGCCCGGTAGATACAGCTGCCGTGGTAGTGGCAGATTAAGGAGTGTTGCAAGCTGCTGAAGCAACATTGAGAAACACGTCAGGGCCCAGTGCTGACCATGTAAACTGCCAGAAAGTGCCCCAGGGATCTCGGCTGAGGACACGCCTTTGCTCTTCACTGTGCGCAACCAAACAAAAAATGAGCTTGTTCTGCGGTCTTATAGTTCGGTGGCTTTGGGGCCTAGCGACAAGGCTACGGGACTTTAGTCTTGAGTTTGTCAGAAGGAGTGGGTTAGTTTGCATACAACTCACTAATGAAGGCCTGCTCGAAGTCTAGCCAGTCTGCATTTTCATTGTTAGCCAAAGGCTCATCAGCATCGGGAGCAGTAGCATAAGCAGTTGGGTCTGGTGCTTTTTCGCATTCTTCTTCCCTCCCTATCTCCCGGCGTGACTCGCAAAGCAGACTGGAGGCATTGAAAAGCTCCAGGAGCTGTGACACTCGCTCGCGTCTCAAGTGCTGAAGCGCGACTTCCATTGCAACTAGCTCTTTGATCGTACTGTCCTCCGACCAGTTTAGTGCTGCACCTGCTACGGCTGCTTCTGCAATTAATTCAATTGCTGCATTCCAAGAGAAAAAACACGCGTAGCATGGATATCGCCTCAGCAAATCGCGCTGGTAACTCGGCCCCTAAAGCCGGAAAGGCAGCACTCTCACCTTTTCCTGTATGCACTGTCACTGTGTTCGCGCTGCGGGCTGATCCCGCTAAAACTACGCTACAGTAAATTATGCGAATAATGAAGTTCACGTGGGCTATGTTGTGCCGTGAGCTCCATTCTCCATGGGCTTACCCCTACTGTGCCCGCTGAGGCGCCTGGCAAGCTTCTGCTGCTTGCTGCTTCTGCTGGTTGTAGTTCTGCAGCCCTTCTCCAACTTATCTGCCGTCAAAAGCAGTTTGATCAGACTGTTGCGCTGCTGCCTACGAAGAAAAAGCAGGTGGCTTTGCATATTCTCCGCTGCAGCACGCATACCAGCAGCATCAATAGCAAAGATAGCGGTGCCCACATTTCTGCTTTGTTTACCCATGACTCCTGTACGGTGGTCTGTTATGTAAAAAAACTACAAACCTGCTCGAAACAACAGAAGTGACTAACCTTCAACTAGCCGTCCCTCCCTTATCCTCCGCATTTCACGTAGCTGCTGCACACGCATTTGCTTCTGTTGCAGTAGGAGTCGCAGCTTTATCTCATACTTCTGTACCTCAGTTTCCTCCTCACCGCGGCCTTCGGAACCGTCTGAACAGCGCTGCAAAAGGGGCTGTAGCTGTTCCTGCAGCTGCTGATGCTGCTGCCGCAGGAACTGCAAGCACCACATCTGCTGCTGCAGAGCTGTACTGCAGCAGAGCGAACAAATCAGCCGGCGAGGCAATCTCCCACATAAATGGCATCGGGCAGAGGCGCACCGTGGCAGATTCCTTGGCTCTCCCTGCTGATTTTGCAAGTTTCGCTGCTGCGGGTGCTGATGTTGCATTCCCATACTAGTTCTCTGCATATGCTGTAACGTTGGAGGCAGCCGCAGTAGTGACTCGGACTGTAATACACGGGAGCTTCCCGAAAATCTCTCGACATTGGGACGCCTGTGATTGCGCAGGTGTGTTCGGCTCTGTCTGCGTTGTTGTTGGTGTTCTAGTTGCTCTTGTTGCTGCTGATGCTCGTGTTGCGGAGGCGGCTGCAGCTGCAGCGATTGCACTAACTTCCGCTTCTCCAGAGTGGCGTGCACTTGCAGCTGGCACTGGCTTTGCGTGGCAGACTGCGGTACCTGCTGCAGCAAGTCAAGAGGACACGATGGAACCTGAAGGAGCAAGCAGTAAGCCTCAAGCTGTTGCTTTCGTTGCTGATGCAGCAACAGCTGTTTCTTGTGGCGCTCTCGAACCGCCTGCTGCACTTTCAGTTGCTGCTGGAGCACCAAAATTTCGTCCTGGCGCTGCTTTAAGAGGCGTGCTGCTGCTGTGTGGACAGCTTCCCCTTGTGGTGGTTGTGGCTGTTTGCTTAAGTTCTGCTGCTGAAGCCCTACACGCTTTTCTGTTGCATTTTCTTCCTCTCGCTTCGATGTCTTCAGGTGTGTCTCCATTGCCGCTATAATGGAGCGTACCTCAGTGTAGCTCAGAGCGTCCTACAGTATTAAAACTAAGCTCAGTGGCGGGAGCATCTAGGACCCCATTTCTGCAAAATATGCAGTGTTTCATTTGTCCTGTTAAGAAGGTAGGTGCTTGACATGAGACCGCTGTATACTTTGAAAACCACCCGTGTCCTTTGTGGTTGCTGTGGTCCACTGGTCGCGCAGTTTCGAGCTGCCACTATGTTCCTGCGTGGCTCCTTCCGTTTCTGCCGTTACAATCCTCAATAGTATATCTTCTGGAATTTTGCATGTACGTGGTAGCTTTAATGCTCTATCTATGCCGGCGCGCTTCAGAGCTGTCGGCGTTCTTCAGTTGGCATGCAGCGAAGCCCCCACGTTATGAAGCAAAACAGAAAACACGGAACCAATGAACACCATTTCGGGTACACAATTGTTTGAGACGACAATAAGGTGAGAACAGGCACGGCCTTCCCCGGCAGTACGTCCTGGGATGCAGCAAAGCGTAGGTTCATCCAAGCAATGTCCTGTCTGGAGGTGCGGTGTTCGAACCACTTGTGTTCTGTCAAGCTTTTTTGCCAGGTCACGATGCATATGAGCCCCCTCTAATTCATTGTGCATGCATCCCAGGAACTGTTGTGAGTGTACTTTCACGCAACTGGGAATCAGGGCGCTCCCAAGCTGGGTCAGCAGATCACGCCTTCACCGGCGTCCCATATGCTGAGCCCACAGTAGGAGCCAGAGACCTGAACTATAGAGAGAGGCATAGTGCCGCGTTCTCTGCATGTAACAAACATGCGTGCGTCACTCTTCGAAGAACCAAACACAAAGGATAACCCTATTGTACATTTTTGCCCTGAGAGCCGGTGAGGTGCCCTGGGACTAGCACAATGATAGCTCTACGGCTCCTTGCAGAACACACTCCTGCTAAAAGGTTCTGCCGACCTCAAGTAAATCATATCGGCCAACGCAGAGCGCCCAACGCGGCGGCGCCCCCCCGTCCCAACTCTGTGACGGTCTGTACCTTGCTAGCTGCACTGGTCTTCGATAAAGGAGCAGCCTCAACACTAGGAAACAGCGGCCTTGAAGCCTAAGCAACTAATGTTCAAGAAAGTTAAAGGCTGAGTTGAGTTCGCTCCGCACACCATTGCCACTGGCAGTTATTGCCTGGGCATGTTTGCACCGAGCCGTGAGGGGACAGCGGGCCCTCAATTGTTTCAAACACAGGCAAGGTTACATGGGGGTTTGCGTGGCTAGTCAAAAAAGCTTTCTTATCTTCAGACGCCCCTCTAGTGGACCTAGAGGGAAATCTCTGGTGAGCCAAACGCGCCAGCGCACTTCCGGAAGTCTTGCCCTCCCTCATCCCATCCTGGCACCCTTTGTGGGGCCAACCGGGAGCCCTTCTGAAGCCTTGCAAGTTGAAAAGCTGCAGCTGGAGACCTCACTGAGGACCACGATAGGCTACAGCAATTCGCCAGTTTCTCCCTGCACTGTGTATATGAACGCGCGTGTTCAGACGAGTTGTATTTTACTCTCGAGCCAGATTCTCCCTTATCTTCTTGCTGCGTGTGCTGTTCTTCTGGGACTCTTACAGGTCGTCATCGTCGTCCTCTATAGCGGTGTTCACAGCCTCCTGCAGCTCCCTCTCCGCTTGCTGCACCAGGGAAGGGTCTATCATGATTTCGGGAGCCTTTGCGTGTTCCCCTGAAAATATCGCACTTGATTTATTCACAACTCATCAACGCCGCGGCCGTACCAGCAGGGCACGACACTGCACGCCCAATAAAGCCGTGCACAAAGAACTCCCTCCAGCGAATCTAGTCGCAAACCCATACTTAAGCCGATGTGTTGTGCACACAAAGATGTCACAACCTACAGTTCCTACCGCAAACCCATAGGTACGCCAACGTGTTGTGCACACAACAATGTCACAACCTACAGTTCCTAAGAAGGACGTCTTTTCCAATGAGCCGATAAACAGCCACACCGAACTCACCAGTAAAGATCAGGGATGCCTGGTTTGTCAGTCGACGCGCGAGCCACAAGAACGGCTTCTCAAAATTATAGTTTGAACGCGCACTGATGTCGTAGTACTGTAGGTTTTTTTTGCGGTGAAACTGAATAACCCGAGCTTTTACCTGTCGGTCCTTCACGTCCACCTGGAGCCAAAATCCAAGCCAAAGCCAATACTCAAATTTTAACTCACGGTTAGTTACACCGTCGACAAAAAAGTATAAATTAAAACTCCAATGGCTCCCGCCTGAAATGATGCTGCACATTTATTAAATGAAGCCAGAAGATGAATGGTAACTTGCCTTGTTTCCAACTAGGACAATGGGTATGTTTTCGCAAACCCTCACAATATCCCGGTGCCAATTTGGAATGTTTCTATAGGTGATGCGACTCGTTACGTCGAACATCATAATGGCGCACTGGCCCTGCAGAAACAGCCCACTAAAGCCTCACACCCTAGGCCCTGAGCTCCTCAAACGTTAAAACGGATCCACGCCAATGCAGACGCATCCAGTTACACACGGCCATTTTGTACCTTCTACGATCTGCCAATGGGGTGAGTGACCAAGCAACGTACCTTGATATAGTAGCCATCTCGGAGTCCGCCAAACTTCTCCTGGCCAGCAGTGTCCCAGACGTTGAACACAATGGGGCCGAAATTCGTTGAGAAACGCAAAGGCCGCACTTCCACGCCTAGGGTAGGGATGTACTTCTTTTCAAATTCGCCTGCGCGTACCGCCTCGACACGCGATACCATCTACTAAGCATTATCTTCCGCGCACCAACTCCCAGGCACTTCAATGCCCGACACCCTTGGCAGCAGACGGGACAAGACAGGCAAGCACGATAGAGTGAAAATGCAGCAAGAGCTCCAGCTCGCTCCGAACACGTTGGGACTGCTCATCCCGCGCGGGCAACATAGGCATGGGGAACAGGACCAAAATGAGAAGCTTTAAGAGCCAATAGAGTATCCAGCAATCCTCAACTACTTAAAAATTTGCGTGTCAAACGGATGAACACGCCAGCAACACTATACACAGCTCCAGACGCCCCACACAGCGGATACTGGAGGAGGGCTGAGGCCCATAGAGTCCTAGGAGTGCCGTGATCCAGCTCGTGTTAATAAATGAAATATGATTCGTTGGCCAATTGTACCACTAGACTCTAGGGCCTCACCCGTGAGGTGGCGCTTCACGAGAGTGGTCTTGCCTACGCCCCCATCGCCCACCAAAATTAGCTTGAATTCAGGCACCTGCTCCGTCATCTTCAGGTCTGTTGGTGGTGGATTAGGGAATTAGCAATTGGAGCGTATTCTGCCTCAGCCCTAACCTAAAAAGATCTCCACCCTACGCCCTCACCAAACGCAAGTCGCAGCCGCTACAGCAGCCCCTGCTGTTGCTGCTGATGCAGTACGGCGCTGCTTCACGGGCTGTGGCCTGATTGCTACTATTTGCCCTTTCGGTGTTGATTTATGCTCTCTCTCATCTTGCTCATTTGCTCTTTGAGTCTATATTTTGGGGTGTGTTTAGCGTGGAAAGTTATGCGCACTTACCCATTAGACACTTAACACCCAATGGCATCCACTAGGTGTTGCCACAAGGGTGTCGCTGCCACCCTGATTGCAGGGTTGAGCAGTGCTCATTGCATTGCGGTGACTGCTATATTTGTCGGATTTTTTCACGCTGCATCAAGTAATAACTACTTATGGCGTTTTCCTGCCGTGCCACTGCCTGGCCAACCAAGCATACAGCGTCATGGGCAACTGGGCCACAGGAGCAGGGTGCTGTGTGTCACTCAGCAGTAGTTACGTTCACCTCGGAGGCAATATCATTTTAAAGTGAGAATTCTGATTAATTATTTGTCTTTTTACTTTCATATTGCATAGCATTAGCACTTCCTGAAGCAATAAGTTTTCTTAAGGGCACCCCCATGGACAAGTGGAAGAACATCGTTTTACATATTCGACCGAGTTGTTTGTTTTTTTGTAGAGCTTTTATTCGTCGTTTTAGTACTTTGTTTTTCCCTGGCACCTACATAAGCTTTGGCGTTTCTTCCATCCTTCAAGGCAGTGACAGTTCAACAGTTGACCCACTGGATTGCGAACTTTATTCAGTACGACGCTTAGCCCAACCGTAGCCTTTCTGTTCTGCTGCAAAAAATTAGACCCATTTTTAATGGAGTTCGTGGATCCCTCTTTAATAGTCATGATTTTGATGGTTAACCATTATGCGGGCCTCAAGTTTGACCATATAATTCTCGCTGGCAGCGGCAGCATCGGTTCCGTGCATCTGCAGTGAATTCTTGTGTGCCCTATTTTGTTTTACCACTCTTTCAACGAAGGCATAAAGCTTATTATTTCGAGGCGTACAGTACCAGTTTAGGTTCGCCGTGATTCAGCTATACAACAAGCAAGAGACCAATCTAGATCCTAGAGTATCCTGTGTTGCATAATTGAAGCGAGGAGAACGTACACTGATACTGTACGCTCTGTAACCTGGTTACTGTAGGCTTCCTCTTCAACGAAATATGATGAATTCAGGGGAGATTGAGCTATGTGTTCATAATTCTTGCCCTTGGTCAGCGCAAAATCTACCTGAGATTCACCGGGTCCCATGGGCCGATTGGCAATATCGGTGTGTAAAAGTAGATTGGTGAACTCTGGTCGCTGGAGTTCATGCGAGCTCGTTTAACCCGACAATCGTTTGTCCCATATCACTTTTAACGGTTATTGGAAGTCCGCTACTGACGCTCCAGACATACGCACCTCTCAACTGCACCTTGAGTAGCATACTTGGCTATCTGTGCTGGAAGCCAACTGAAGGTACACTTGAACCAGTCAAAGTGAGATGCTCACCACCGCCGCGAGTACCTCCTTAAAGTAATAGCACAGATATGCAAAATCAGTAAGCCTCAACCTGCACATATCTGCTCTTATTTGTGAAGTGGTGGCCTATCCCTATAAATAAGCCTTCCATGCTGGCATTGCCGTCGTGCGTACCTCAAGTACAGTTGGTTTACTGGAACAGAATCACTGTTGTTTAGTGTTGTTTTGAATCCAGGTGACCTTGCCTAGGTGATTTGGGTTCGCCGCAAAACTGCGAAATTTTAGTATGGCCTGTAGGGTCCCAGCACTCCTGAATCAATGACGTCTTGGCAGATAGAAATCAACAAACCGTAATGCAAACTTTGTCTTGGGAGAAGCCTGCTACACAGATTATTTTAGCAGTCTCAATTTATTTACCGTGACTGGCTGCATACTTTTTACAGCCGTTGACAGCCAATTGGGCGAATTTCCAGACCTTTGATTAAGGAACTTGATAAGAAGAGTCCAAAGCGAGGGCTTTCTCATGCCGTTAGTATGCGATCGCCTCTGGGATGGGTCACCTCAAACTGCATTATCTGATCTGCAATCGGAGTATCCCTGAGACTGCGAAAAATTTAGGCATATCAAGTGCACTAGAGGAAGAAAAACTGAGATTCTACAGTAGAGCGGTATAAAAGCTGAGCAGCACATCGCTTGCGAGGCTGTGTGACGCTTCGGGGCTAATTACTTTGGCTCATACGTGTTGCTGCACATTAGGAACAACATTTAAATACTAAGAAGCTGAAAGCATCATCCCTCTAGGGCCAGTTTTCAAAGGAATCCATCTGCCTGTCCCGGACATTTCCTGCTTCGTACGTTGTTGCGTTGCGTGCTCGAGTTCCACTGCCTCTTGCCTGCCCTAAGCTCCAGGCCAAACTCTGGAATACACTGCGCCTGACCACTCCGTGAGTAGTTATGTTTGCATGATGGCTACTGCTGCTTGTTATTTGAATATCCACATATCTGACGTAAGGGCAATTGCTTTGCAGCGTGTAGTGCTGGGCTAGATTAGCGATGGGGCAAGAGCAATAGCCGGAAACATAGTGCCTCACCATCCACGCCTTCTCACTCTAAGTTATCCGCAGCATTTTTTCCTTTGGTATGGCTTGGAACATGTTGCTACTTCTTCCGCACGAACCAAGTTTCCCGGTTGTCCGCGCCACGGCACTGCGCTGCGTTTGTAGTGGCACATGAGATTTTCAAAACAAGCACATCTCCCGGCAGCTTAGGCGAAAGTTAGATGTGATCAATGACTATGTCAAACGATTGTTTTAAAACCCAGTTGCCAACTTTAGGGGCTGGAGGCTGCCCTGAACCAGAATTAGTGGAATTTAGGCCCTGCTCGTGGAGCGGAGTCGCATCCTTACAGCCGCAGCATATTCCGCATCGGACCAAATAGCCAGCCTAATTCCTCATGAAACCTCTGATTACCATGTAGTTTCAGCTCAAAGAAATGAAGTATCCCTCAGTAGGATGTCTCTATGCTATTTCTCCGGCGGTGAGGGATGAATTGCTCATCATGCTGTCATGCGGTTTCGCCGTGAGATATACGTATGCATTTTCCCATGAGGTTAAAGCTCTCCAAGCACCACATGTTCTGCAGCTGAAAGCCCACGTTCTTTAAGCTATGGCGAACTAGATTGCAGTTGTTGAAACTAATACCGAACATTCTTTGCGTTGTGGTGAACTAGACCCATCTATGCAGTACAGAACCTGAAGCACTCATACTGTCCTCCTTGGCATAAAGAGGACTGCTACTGAAGGAGGACTGTTACTTCAGCTTATTACGGGCAGGCAGCCATTTGTCGTTCCTTCAAGCCAAAGGAAAACCTTTTTTCTTTAAAGTGGTACATTGTGCCACTTTAAAGCTTGCCACACCAATCCTTCCTGCCCCAGCATGCCACGGCATTCTTAACGGGAGATGCAGATCACAGTACACAAGTCTCATAAGGCATATCTCTGCAGCTTGGGACAATGCTGGGATCATGATGCGCAAAAAGTGCAGCTCCGCTTAAAACATAAGTAGTGCTGTTGAGTTTGTTTACTCTACACCACCATATCTGTTTTAAGCGGAGCTGCACGCACACTAGCCAACCGTGCAATATCTACTTTGTGTCCGTTTGCATGCACTGCATAGTGATTTCACAGCCAAGGAGCTTACAGCCATTGTCGCGTGGTTTGTTGCGCTGCGGATGTTGCTGTTAGAAACTGAGTACGGTTTCAAGTAGCTATTTCCAAGTATTTTGGCGCAATTTTTTGCTGCAAGGCGTCGCTGTAGACTCCGATATATTGTGTTGTGTGCCTGTGCATAATACTGAATATATTATTATTACCTTGATGAACTCAGCTGACCAAAAGGTTGCTGATTTGGGAGTACCAGGAGCAGGCTGTAGCTATTTTCATAAACCGCGAGCCTCGCTCATGCACAACATAAACCAGAGACCAATGACCACTGCTCCACTTCGTAATAAATTGCTGTTCAGTACTATTTTGAACTGCCTGCTGTTTTTTAGTTGTTAGTCGAAGATACTTCCCCCCGAGCAGCGAATCTCCTGAAAGTATTTAGACTCAAAGGTAGCGCTGACTTAGCGTGTCAAGCTTTTGCAGACGAAAAATATACAAACAAAGCCTAGCAGGCTTCTTTGATCTAGGCTTGTACTGCGCAGAATTTTGAAATCGCTAATGCAGCCTGTTTCGTAGTCCGGCTTGTCTACGTTTATCTCTCAGTGACCATGACATAACAGTTTTATTCCCCACGCCCCGCCGCAGTCTGGCTTACTGTGACTACTCGCCGCATATAGTGAAAGAAAAAGTAGAAGATACTGTAATCTGGAACTGAAGTTACCGAAGCTGCGATACGCCGCAGGCCTACGCAGTGAGCGAGAAGCATTGGCGGAAGCCTAATGCATTGCTCATAATGATGATCTACAGTGATGCTGTTCGGGCACTTTTAAGTTCTTAGGAATGTCTTTAGTTAGTACTGATGCGTGTGAGTCTATGTAGCCAGAACAGAAAAGAAACGCGGGGGCCGGGCTGAGCTTCGTTCACAACGATCTGAGCGCCGCTCTTCGATTTTTTCTACACTTCACATCGTGCTATTTCAACTTTTCTGGACCACTCGCCTCTAGCAATGGGATTAGACTAGCCATGCGCATGTGGAATCGGCGGTGGTGGGCGTTCACGAGCAGACATCCTTGAAAACGTCGCGCGCTAACTCAAACAGGGCACCAGGGAGTCCCTAGATCCCTATGTCACCTCGATGAAGACACCTCAGAGAACGTACTGAGGCTTCAGCTTTCGAGCCAAGAAGCAGAATCCTGTCCACAAATGGATCAAGCCAGTGATATTTTTGGCTTGAAGCGAGAGTTGGAGGAGCTGCGGTGCTTCCTTTTCCACTTGAGCGTGGAGCAACGAACTCCACTGAAATCGTAGCCTCTGCCATTTGAAAAGGAAAAAAAGAAAAGAACCTCCCTTAGAGTAGCAGTGATGTGGTTTACAAAGATTTCCCTGGGCTATCGCATAAGTATTTAGAGAGCGCTTCCCTCGTGCACTGAGCATACCTACAAGGGATGGAAGATTCTGTTGGAGTAAAACGTAGCATGCTACTACGTTTCTGCATTACTAACGGCGGCGCCCTTATTCTGCTGATTGTAGCTAATCGGTGGCAATGTTATTACTGGAAATATTCAGCCAGCTGCACGACGATTGTAGGGAGAGGGGAAAAAAGCCTGTAGCGGAGCTCATGTGCTACAATCAAACTAGCCTGACACTTTGCCAACTTTCTGTATCTTTCCAAATCTTCTACGTAACCCCTTATCTCCACCTTGATAAGGACCTTGCCCCTCAACAGAGAATGCTGAATTGTCTTCTGCCTGTTTGTCTGCTAAATGTATCTGCTGCATGTGTCTACTGCTGATGTTGTTTGCTCTCTTTACCATTTGCAGAGTGCTGACAGCTGTTATTTTTTAGAAACAACCGAATAGCCCCCAAATTGAATGGAGCCAAACCCAGCCTAACGCACAGATAGATACCGAACTGACTGCATAGACGCCCAATCGCCGATTGACATCCAAATCGCCAAGTAAGCACTTGAATAAAAATATTTGTTCCTAACAATGCCCTGTTCTTGTTCCGGAATTGCCGCCGGTGTCAAAGGATACCCGCCGCCGGCTCCGTCAGTTATACTGCCAGCCCCATTTCCGAAAGATCCTTAGGCCTAACCTGAACTTAGACCTAGGTTTCTCTAGCTACTTCACCGTGAACTAATTTCTGTTGTTAAAATATTAAGCATTATAACCTTTTGAGGCCATCTCTGTGCAGTATCACAGTGCCACGCACTACAGGAGTGCTTCACGTCGTGGCAAATCGGGCTACCGTGCGGCACAGCATTTCAACGGCAAGCCCTCCCTGGTCAGCTCCTCTAAAGACTTTAGCTACTCCTTTTATTATTTTGGAAAGACGCGACCAACCGACAGATAACACGTACGACTCTGGGGGGACGCAGAGAAGAAGGTAGCTTGCTCACAGCACCAGGAAGGGGCTACTCCGCATGCATGCATGGAAGATTCCGCATTCTCATGACGGAGATATGGATGCGCCGTGTTGATATATGTGGCATTTCATCACCGGCCAGTGGCGTGCTGGGAACAGTCTAATCAAGACCAGTCGTCTCTGTATTTGTCTTACCGCCTGTAGACCCCAATTGGTTGGATTTGGGGGAGTACGGACGGAGAGGCCAAAGTTGCTCACTACATATTAGAATTTTAAATGCTCTATTATCACTCTTACTGCTTGGCAAACGTGCTCTTCAAGCTTTTCCAGCCTATACGGAGGGCCTCTTAGAGGCTTCCTATGCTCATTCAACAACCAGGGAGTAGAATACAATGGCCGTAGCAGGCAACGCAGGACGGGCAAGGGAAGAGAAACCGGCAGCACCTTCTTCCCCAGAAGGTCCGACGTCAGCAGAGAAGGAAAACGAAGAAGACGAGTTCGAGGTCTCAGCAAGAGCAGCAGCAGCAGCAGCGCTGGAGCTTGATGAACTGGTCGGGGGAGATGCCGACATTGCCTACGAGCAAGAGCTTAGGAGGGATCCTTATCAGGTCAAGGTTTGGCTTGCCTATCTCAAGAGCAGGGCCAAGGCTAAGCCGGCCATTCGGTGAGTTGCTTCGTCTTCGTGCATACTTCACAGTCATGACTGTATATGAAGTTTTGTATACTTGCCCTGGTTTCTTCTATATATGCATTAATGGGGGCAACGTGCTATTTGTTTGTTCACTATTGGGCCCCACCAGCTCCACCAGACAATGGCCGTTCACTATGCCGATCGCTGTGTGACACATCCCAGAGTCTTTCATGTTTTCCTCTCTGCGTGCCCGCACAGCAGTCTTCAACTTGAGCCACAGCTTTTTCCAGAAACTTCCCTGCTAAGCTTATATCTTGATGTGCCTATTTCTTGCAGGTTTGTAATATACGAACGAGCTGTTCGTTCCCTGCCGGGTAGCTATAAGCTGTGGCGGTTGTACCTCTTGGAGCGTGTAGCTTTGTGCGAGCGTACGGCAGGGCCCCCTTCCGGTCCAGAAGCGGCGCCGTTGTACTCTGCGACGAATTCAGCCTTTGAGAGGTGCCTTGTGCACCTGTCTCGCATGCCCGAAATATGGCGGATGAATCTGAAATTCCTACAACAGCAGCAGCTCCTTACGCGTGTCCGTAGAACGTTCGACGCAGCACTCAGAGCTCTTGCTGTTACTCAACATGAACTGCTTTGGCCTGAGATGATGGACTATGTCAAGGTACGCAAATATTCTCTTTGGCAATTATTATGTGTGTGTTTCGCTGATGTGCTTGTTGCTATTTTTGTCTAGAAACGGCAGTTATAGCACGCTTTGCCCATTCGTGAGGACTTGGGGCTGAGGGGTTTAGTCGTTTTCACGATCGTATCTGCACAGAGCTGTGGCGTCCCTGAGACAGCTGTATGCCTCTACCGCCGGTGGATAATGATAGAGCCAGAGAGGACAGATGAATTCGCGCTGTACTTGAGCAGTATTGGGCGTTATGACGAGGCGGCAAGCTACTTAGCTGCCGTGGCAAGCGACTCAACGATCACCACTGCATCGGGACGAACCCGCCACGAACTGTGGTTGGAGCTGTGCAAGCTGGTGGCAGCTCACCCGGAGTCCATACACTCAATGAGGGTTGAAGACATACTAAGGAGCGGCATAGCGCGATTTTCGGATGCTGTTGCGTCTTTGTGGTGTTCGCTTGCTTCTCACTATGTGAGAATGGGGTTGCTAGCGAAGGCTAGAGACATATACGAAGAAGCTGTCAGCTCAGTTTCCACCATTCGCGACTTGGCCGTTGTGTACGAAGCATACGCAGCGTTTGAGGAGGCAGTTGTCGCACAGCTTCTGCAGGAGCAGCAGCAAGCTTCCCCAGAGGCGGCGGCGGCAGCGGCAAAGGATATTGACTTCGCAATTGCCCGCCTTGAACGACTGACGGAAAGGCGCCCTCTCTTGATTTCATCTTGCAAGCTGCGCCAGAACCCCCACAACGTCCATGAATGGCTAGCTAGGGCAGAGCTGGTACAAGACGATAACAAGAAAGTAACATTACACACCGCTGCAATATGCCGCTGTTGCTTTGACGCAGTTGCTGCATTTGCTGTTGCTAAGACGATTATGATTTTTAGTGTGGCTACTGCATCATAGCTATCACGTGGTATTTAGAACTTCGCAGGAGTCACGTTATGATGCCAATACCGCATGCTTGCAGCACACCCACCCAGAGCAAGAGTATGAGCTTTTTGGTGGCTGCTGTTTCAGGTGGTGGAAACATTTACGGAAGCCGTGGCAACAGTGAAAGCGGACCAGGCTGTGGGTCGTTTAGGTGTACTATGGATCGCCTTTGCGCGCTTCTATGAGGCCCACGGTGACCTCGAGAACGCGGCAAAAGTGTTCGAGCGGGCTGTGCAGGCAACTTACCGCACTATTGACGACTTAGCGTCTGTTTGGTGTGAAGCTGTAGAGATGCACTTGAGGCATGGCCTGTTTAAAGAGGCCTTGAGGCTAGTCCGGCTAGCCATCAGCAGTTCCAGAAAGGGACAGGATACGAAAGGCGCTCAAGGCCGCCTCTTCAGATCGGTCAAGCTCTGGTCTCTTGCAGCGGATGTAGTAGGCGCTTTTAATTTCGTGTTGAATTTGGCACAGTGTCACTGAACACCACGTTGTCGCTCACTAGACAAGCTGCAAGTCCGTGAAGCAATGGAGCTTTGTGAAGACTGTAGTTGAAAAAGCATGCTGCTAATCTTTGCTTTGCATGCACTGGGAGTTACCAGATTGGTTTTCGGTTGTGTCTGTGGCTTGCTGTGTAATGCCGCAGGAGGAAATGTTTGGATCTATCGAGACAGTGCGGGCTTGCTACGATAAGATGTTTCAGCTGAAAGTAATAACACCGCAGCTTGTTATAAACTATGCTCATTACCTTGAGGTGGGCCTCCACGTTGATTTGCTAGCCAATCCACTCCGCCAATACATGAATGAGCCACTCATGATGCTCGAATTAGTGGCATTTAGCATTTTCTTGAAGAAGCCATTTCACTGTATTCCGGTATATTGCTGTTTACAGGAGCGGCGCTACTATGAAGAGTCTTTTCGCGTTTATGAGCGGGGTGTGGCCGCTTTTCACTGGCCACATGTTAATGCGATATGGTTAATGTATTTGACGAAGTTCGTATCGCGATATCGTAGTACCAAGCTGGAACGAGCCAGAGAGCTGTTCCAACAGGCTACAGCAGAGGTGCCACCCAAGTACGCAAAGAATCTGTTTCTGCTTTATGCGAAACTGGAGGAAACTTATGGGCTTGCAAAACACGCTTTGGCGATCTACAGCGCAGCTACCAAGGCGGTTTTACCTGAAGACAAGTTGGACATGTTCTGCGTTTACATTGCACGGGTGAGTTCCAGGTTACTTTTCGTACATGGTACTTTACGTAGCTACCAACGGAGCATCTCCATGCTAACGCGAATAAATGCTTCAACGTGAATTTTGCTGAGCTTAACTAAAGAATGAATTTCACGGTGTTAAGGTTCTGCAACTTCATAATGGTGTCTTTGGAGCTGGTGGTGTTATTCTGCTGCTATCTCTGTAGACGAGTGAGCTATTTGGAGTAGCACGGACACGAAAGATTTTCGAGGAGGCCATAGAGACGCTCCCGTCAAACGACGTGAGGCACTGGAACGCAGCTAGCAGATACTTCACAATTGAAGCCAGTCACCGTCGAGTGACTCTTGCGGCCACTGCTAAGTTAATACTGTGAATTGCCTACGGAAAGCCTTTTTTCCTACTATGACGTTTAGCTGTGCTTGTATTGAGTGTACTCTGTGGGAACTGAAATTGCGGTGCTTGATATGCGGCTCGTCGCTGCACGAGGGTACACAAAGGGGATTGAGTCGTATCCATACAGCTTGCATGCTTGGACTGCTGTGGTGTACAGAGGTATTTATCATCGTGGGTAATTCTTTTGGTACTCTTGGAGCTACAACCAAAACGTTCAGACTAGTGGAAGATCACATGTGGTGGCCTTATTCTACAAGTACATGCATTCCCCTTTTTTCCTCTTTGCTTATCTTCACGCGTGACGGTTCTGAGTCCCCTCTTTTCGTGTCATTTATTCTGCAGGTGAGGAATGTTTGCATGCGCTATGCGGCAGTGGAGAAGTCGCTAGGCGAGATCGACAGGGCCCGTGCCATCTTTCAACACGCGGCCCACCTTTGCGACCCTAGCAGAGACCAGGAATTCTGGGACGTAAGTCTCTCCCAAGCACTGTGCTGCAACTTTCATCTTCTTGATGCTACCTTCGCCAAACAAGTTTTCTTAGCGGGCAGAAGGCATGACTGATCATTGTACAGGCTGGCCTTGGCTTGTCATTATTTGGGCGATAGTGCGCCCACGGACAAATGGGCCGCTGCAGCTCTTGACTTTAGCCTTCTACTTGATGCCGGGTCTAATACATTGTGAATAGCTCTGTTTTTACGCACTTACCGAACTGCAGGCTTGGCGTGAATTGGAAGTTGCCTATGGCAATGAAGACACGTTCAAAGACATGCTTCGGATCAAGCGAAGGTAAGCATTTGTTAGCCACATGCATTTTGAGTTGTAGGCTGCACGACGCATTCGCAGCGAAGGTAAGCATTTGTTAGGCACGTGTATTTTGAATTATAGGCAGCATACTGCATTCATAGGCCTATGGAAACGCTGCTTTTTAGTAGAGATGCATTTAAGAGTAGTCTGAGCAAATACATGCTGGACCGGTTTCTATAGACAGCGATTCCAGCAGACTTTTGCCCTGCACGCAATAATGCCGACCGGCCTGTGTCTACTCAATGCGCGTGTGTGTGCACAGCGTCATTGCACAGTACAGCCAAGTACACCACAATGTCGCCGAGCTTACTGCCTCAGAGGTGCCGAAGCCGTTACCTGCGGACCCTGTCAAGGAAGCTGCTGCTCAACTGGCGAAGGAAGATGAAGAGAGGCAGCAGGTACTACGGAGGGAGGAGGCACTGCAGGAACAGCTGCGTTTCCAGCAGAAACAGCAAGCGGAAATGCAGGAACTAGAACAAGCTGAGGCCGAGTTCCAGGAATTGCAGAGGAGCCGGAGGCAGGCCGCCACCTTGGCATCACTTCAGGCCGATGCTCCATTGTTCGTCAGCGCGAGTACCTTTGAGGTAATCCGTCTAATCAGCAACTTGGTATTGATTTTGCGTGCATTTGCATGACATGTACGGCGCAACCAACTTCACTAATACACTCTAAAGTGTGAAATAACAGGCTTATGTATAAGCAACTTCCCAAACGAAAATATCCAACAAATTCCCACAGCTTGCTCTGCACATAATAGTCCGTTCTGCACAACGCCGCAACCGTAAGTAACTGGCTCATGGAACTTGCGTTCCATATGCCATTCACTCCACCAGGACGAAATCCAGGGTAATCAGTGATACTCAAGGAATTCGATATTTTCTCGATTCTTTGCAGGGAGCACATCTGGGCTACGCATTTAAGCATGGCCCACAGGGCTTGGGGTATTATTTGGATGAAGGGCAGGTGGGCAAGGGTTTCATAGAAGCCCGAGAGAAGTCACTCCTGGGAAGAAGCCGGCCAGGAGGTAGCGGCAGCAGTGAGAATGCACCATCTGGGTCGCGACGCCAAGATGAGGAAATGGAAATTGATATTAATGATTAGGTGGAATAGGGAGGAAGGAAGTGCATGCAACGCTGTTCTTCTGGAGCTTGGACTTTGGAACGAAGCGCCAGGCACCATTGAGGTTACCTTCGCATACGCTGGGGAAGATGTTGAGGGGGACTTTGAAGAGGGTGTACACTTCCTGAGGGGAACAGAACCTCACCATGAGGATGTAGGTGGAGGCAGAGACTTCCGACTCTAGGCGGAAGGACAATTCATTGTCTTTACCGTGGTCCTGAAAACCAACGGCAACCGAACTGTATTCGAATACTAGAACACACATCAGTTGCAGCGTCAGGGCAGTGCTGTGCAGAGTAGAGGACCGTTCAGCCCCTCAACCGTGTTTTTCTTATCAAAGAAGGCTTTGTACATTTTTATTTGAATCTAGACTTACCTTTATATGAATCCTGAAACTGTGAAGCAGAATAACGCATCTTAGCAGGGGACATAGCAGTAAGTGCCGCGGTAGACTCTGCCCGTGGCTTTTGTCGTAACCTTGGGTTCGCTACGCAAGCTGCTACAGAGCATACCGCATAGTTATTTGGCCACTGTTAAGCGGAAACCAATGGTCCAGAAGCCGTCTGCGTTGGGTTCGGGCGCTTTTTTTATGTGCCTGCTTGTATACTTTTATCGGAGTTTGCTTTTGGGTCACTATATTGGCAGCCTCACGAGATGCATCATTGTTAGATAGCCGCTTTTGGGTCTCTTGCCACTCTCCGCCCGCTCTGCGAGCTTCTCCTGGGTGCAGCCACAGCTTCATTCTCTGGCTGACAGTTGTTCTTTGTCGACGTTACGCGAGGCAAACCTGTCAATCTTTTCAAATACCCATCCCAGGATAGCAAAGGAGCATCAGATCACAAAGATCACAAACACTGCAATCACTGCCAGCTAGACGTGTTGCTTGGAATAGCCTTTTGCAGGTCAGTGCAGAGCTCTGCATTGACCTACTCTTTGTGGCCGGCACACGCCGCACCCTCCTCATCGGCCAAACGTCACCTGCAGGTTTTTCATCCCTCATGTAAGTAATTAAAGGCCTCTGAGCTAATTCGGAGAAATCCGCCTAAACTGGACTCTCACTCCAGCAATGAAATTTTCTTTCTACAGACAGGAGCTTGCTGCTCCTCCGCGCTGTGTATAGCCCACAATTGGCGCCATAAAGTATCGCGCCGCCTCTGGAACGAACGCATGCGAGCTCCTGAAGCCAGGTATATCTGTCTACCCTCGCCCACAGCAAGCCAGACGGCGCGGCGTCTTTAATGATAAACTGAACAGGCATTTGAACCGTGGGTGGCGTGAAGTTGGTGTTAGCTCCTGGGTTCGTGAATGCATCACTGCACGTAGGGCATGCAGGGGCGCATTAGTATGCTTAGCCTATGGCTGATATCTCCTGCGACGTCGTTGCTTGATATACAACAATGACCCTAGAGAATAGAGCTGTGGTGCATGGGAAGTTGCATTTTTCAATTTGTCATTGGACGTAATGACGCCACCCACCAGCAAAAATGCAACTTCCAATGCACTACAGCTCTATTCTCTAGGGTCATTGTTGCATATCAAGCAACGACGTCGGAGAAGACATCAGCCGTAGGCTAAGCATGCTAATGCGCTCCTGCATGCCCTACGTGCAGTGATGCGTTCACGAGCCCAGGAGCTAACGCCAACTTGACGCAGGTGACTGCACGGTCCACACGCACTGGTGTGCTTGCAGCCGCTGTAAATTGCTTCAGTTGGATTCCTTTGGTGCATGTGTGCTTTGCATAACATCACAGGAATGCCTACTTTGCAGATTACAAGCAGCATCAGTTCCAAAACATATGCTGTAAAACTGATGCGGCACAAAAACCTGCGGCATAGTAATTAGCCCTCACAACGAACACCAACAGACGCACGATAACTACGCGAAAAGGCTAAGGCTAGCTTAGCTCTGTGTGCGCGCAATGTACAGTGGGTGGTTGTTCATGGTGCACACAGCTTGAGATAGCGGTAGCTCTTCTACTCACTCCGCGGAGGACACCCAAAACTGTGAGCGTCCCCAGTGATATGCCCGCTGCCTATGCTGATGACAAAGCATTGTCTGCAAATCTGTTTTTCGAAAGTTTAAGAAGAACGAAACTTAAGCCTGCCGAAAATACCCTAGATGCCCACTCTTAATGCATTGTTTCAACAAACAGACAATCTGTCGATATCCAGCATCTGCAGCGTCTATAACTAGACTTGCTTTCTGCGATTGTACCGCTCATTCTGTGGATAAATAAGTACGGGGCTACTGTGCTGCCATCAGACCATGCAGCCAACCTACGTGGCACTTGCAGTGCGCATTTGACCTGCTTTCTGTGACTTCGTCGACCACCCAATGAATAAATAAATGCAGCGTTACCGCGCCGTCATCAAGCCAGACAGCTCATGTGCCTACATACCTCGGGGACAGCTGAGCGGTGCCATGAGCTTTGTTGTCCTAAAGCACGGCTGCCCGCTGCATCAGCAGCATGCCTGCCTGGTCAGCTTGCTTCATGGGATTCGCCCATTCGGATGAATAATTTGTGCCACTTTTTTACTGCTAAGAGTGCTTTTACAAAACAGGGAGGCGGAGCTGGGCCTGTCTCAGTTTTCAAAAGGGCATATTCCCGAATTACACAGTTCCCTACGTTTTGCCATTGTCGGATTTTTCTAGTGCTCATTTACTGTAAAGCAACATTTTATCAAGACATTTTTCACTTCCTAGTGTAGAGTACACAGCCACAGCAAGATAAATCTGCAGATTTCTTGTGGATGCGCTTAGTCTTTTTGACTAATCTGATCATGGATTTCCAAGCACACGGCAGCCAGTGATGCTTGGCCTGCTACAGCACACCCTTCACCTACCTAAACCGTCCTATTTTCTGAGTGACCGTTGCAGAAGGCGCATACTAACCTCAAACAGTGTGTCACGTGGTTGCAAATGACCGCATATTGTCGCAACGCTCTGCACACATGCGCTCACCTGCTGTGATAAGTCGTGCCGTGACACGAACGACTCCCACTGAACCAAGGGTCCTAACTGCTAAGGCGCTCTCATCTGCGTTGTACATATACGGTGTAAAACTGCAGTCCACGATTTACTAAATGGCTGCTTCATTATGAGTGTACGGTGATGCTTATTCCATTCAAATCAATTGTTTCCGCGCCAAAATCCTCACATTCCAAACTACTCTTGATTTATTGATGTGATACGGACAACACTCCGGTGTATTCTTCTTCTGTTGCAGCTTATACATAAATTGTTCTGTTATTTCCTGGTGGTAGAATCACAACACGTTCCTTCAGTCTGGCAATTCACGTACTTCGGGACTTTGGGTACCAGCTTGGAGCCCCAAGACATCGTGGCAGCTGCGCATCTGGTGCGCAGAAGCCATTAATCCACTGTCTGAAAGGATTCCTAAGTACATAAGCAAATCACTATAGCTTCTACACAGGACAGTTAAAACTCGGCGCTCCGTTCTTGCGGCTTGGTAAGCCGACGAGCATATTCTCTGACCTCGGTAACAATAGCCACAGGCAGACCAGTCCGTCTCGCGACAAGCTCCTGAGAATGATAATTAAGACAACAGAGAGTAGAAACAGACGGTACGTACTTCGATAACAATCGCAGTAACGGTGGCAGGGCCCTGGCAACAAGGCATGAACAGTGCAGAGGCAAGTGATATTGTAACAAAAGCAGGAAGGGCGACAGGTGCCACAGCAGCAACTTAACACGAGCACCAACGGTTGTATAGCTTCAGTCACAACAGCAACTCACATTCAATCGGTTGTCGTCAAGACATTCAGGAACCTTCCTCAGCACCAGCAACGCTTCAGTAGCCTGGCATGCAAAACTCTTATTGCGTATACCTGAATCCTTCCCATATTTATACTTCCACGTTGCCGACGAAAGCATGTAGACACGCAAGAAATAGTGAAAATGCCCCTTTAGGGAATTTATAAATCTTCCCAGATGCGTGAATTGAGCTTTGAGAGCTTACCTCCACAACGCAGCGAGGACAAGTGCAGGAGAAACCGTAATTCTGCATCGAAGAAAACCGTCGTAATTGTTCTCCCTAATCCCTTAAACTCAAAACACCCAACCCTAAGCTAATTGCTCTCTCTAATCGCAGGAGTGCAAGACACCGGTTGATGCAGTACTGGAGGTGAAGCGACCTAGCCTACAGAAACCGTATGCCATGAACCTTAGGCCGTACCGCCTGCAGGATCTGGCGGCGCTCATGAAGAGGGAGGGCCTCGTCTATATATGACACTGTCACTTCTTCTCCGTTCTTGATCGGCCTTAAAGCCCGAACCTGCAAAAGACTTTAAATTTCATAGAGCGTGTTTCCACCCCCTAAAAGCTCTGGCTGCCCACCGAGCACCTGTACACTAAACTCCTAGCCAGGAACCATCAGCCACTATGATGGCGTACCTCTAGAGCCGGCTTGCTCAAAGGGAAATCCGACTCTGCATTTGGCCAGCAACTGTGATTTGTCATGGACCCTAGCTGGAATAAACCCCAGCCTATGAAAGGCAGTAAGGGGGCTCGCCAGGGGAGCCTGAGAGTTCCTGCAGAATCAGCAGCGAGAACCCCTACTTCAAGAGACCCCTCCGTGTCTTCCACCTCCACTTGACACGCTTCATCCGCTTCATTCCAGCGAGTTATTTCGTGCACTTCTTGCAGCAGCTATCACACAAGCACATGCCTTTGATCACGAGCCATAAACTCCAAGTCATGCTTCATAAATGCCAGAGCAGCAGTTAAACTACGTGACTGCACCAGCTCACGTGGCCTAGGATATGCTCGGCGTTGGCGTCCTCCGCCGTCACATTTTCCAGATAATCTCGGAGCCCTTTCTGTGGCACTCGCACTAGAGCCTCCTCAGTTAACTGCAAAGCGCCGAGTTGGGAGTCCTGGCTTTGAAAGCTGGAAATTAGGGGATGGACCACTGGAGAGCGCCACTTAAAGGCTAGGAGACGGCTATTAAGAGGATGGGGGAATTCCACGTCGAGACATACGAGGGCGAATGTGCCCTGAGCGATCAAATAAGAGCAACGAAAAACCCTCTGCCTACTCAAGCGAAGCAAAAGCGGAGATGCACTTGCGGCTGGCAGTAGTGCTGCAGAAGACGCAGTCATCGTCACTGCCTTCAGGAAATCGTAGTTAGCACGGTACACCGAACTTCGACTTTTCGCATATCGCTATGACTGAGAATAAATAAGCTACAGTCCTGCACTTCGTTTTTTTTTCAGTTGCCGACCATTAGTTTGGAGTAAAAATCCAACTGGAATAAGGTTTCTAGGTCTCTTTCTTGTGGCATAGCTGCTGCTCCTCTCAGAGCAGGCTTCAGGGCTTTTGACAGAAGATCCAGGGACTCCTTCAACAGGGCCCTCCGACCTTCAACAGTTTCAGTCTCGGGGTTCGTCTGAGCCCTCAAGCCAATAGGAGTTGTTTCTTGGCTAGGGCAGGACTGAGCAAGTGACTCCCTGCAAGCCAAATTACGAAGGCAAAAGGCTTAAGGTCTTTATTGTATAAAACAAGCAAGAGCACAAAGGGACGGCATGAGACAATGGGTGGAAACGCTTAAAGACAAAGCACAACGACTAAACTATAACAAGAATGTTGGACAAAAGCACATGGATACACGAGCGGCCACAAATAAGTCACAAAGGAGAACCATATAAATAGAGAAGCCACAGAAATGGCGGCATATGAAACGAACAGAAGACAGCAACGCGCAATCGGCGGAGGCAGAGATATGCACAAAGGAATAAACCCACATATGGCAGAGCACGCAATAAGACGAAAGAAATGATAGAGTGAATAGAGAACAAATACGGATAACTAGCATATATGCAGCGCGTTCCGGAATAGATCCAATAAAGCAAGGCAAATGTGTAACGAAAATAGCGGCACATGAAAACATGGGAGACTCACCAGGGAGCGGAATAGAACTGCAGAAAAGGTGTCACAGCCTCTGAGAATTGGCGACGCTTGAAGATCACCTCAAATACAACGTGCGCCACGCAGAGACCTGCAGCAACAAACCTTGGAACAATATTCGTGATGCGAATCGGAAATTCTGCACCATGAAGTCCTGACATGCATTGTTGAGTTCAAAAGTTATAGAGAGTCCTCCGGCGAAGCCAAACGAACTTCCAACCATAAGCAGTGTGAAGACACTTTTACACCCAGCCGTGAACCCGGACGGAACCTATACAGACAGCAATGCAAGATGGAAGTGGCCTTAAGAACCTCAGCCTCAAGCCCTACGCCAAGAAATATCACATTACCTGCCATGACAAGGCCATCATGGTGCCGACGGGCGTGAGACAGAAAAAGCTGCCAACTGTTAGGCTCCCTAGCCTCCACGCAAACCATTCGATGAAGAGTTTCGCAACGAGCGTGCTGTTAAGCAAGCACATTTAAAAGCGCAAGCACCCCACCTAGCCACCCACTCCTGAAGGAGGTTTTACGGCACTCTTTTGAAATTCCCACCCAGCAGACGAACCGACATTTTACATCTCGGCAAAAAACGCACAAAAACGCTCCAAAGTTTTGCCGCAGCCTAGTGTTGAAAGTTTTAATGCTGGAAGTTCTATTTACAAGTATACTAACCTGGCGGCATTGCTGAGAGCAGAAAACCGCCTCGCAGTGGGCCTCCCCGCACGGCACTACAGAACTCAAAACAAGTCCCTGAATCATAAACCCCAAGAACCAAATTGCAGCAGAGCTTGCGGCATGTGTAAACGAAGTTAAATGCTTGGACGCCTTTTACTTGTGACTCACTGCTCTCTGGAGAAAGGAATCAGGCAGAGACTCCAGCTTGGCCGCTGAGCGATGCCGGCCTGCCCTGCAGCAGCAGCAGCTTCTATTTTGCACCTTAGCCAAGCATGCTGCGATCAAGTGGCGAAACTACTATGGCTTACCGGGGTCAAAACTAGAATGTCAAAAGGCTTCTGGAGGGCACCTATGGTTTAGGGTCACAGCTGCAGTTTAAGAGTGAGTTATAAGAGAGACAGAAAACACACAAAAGCATCCAAGCGCCTTCATGGGTACCTCTTTTCGCATTGAGTATTGAAACATAGGGCTGCACTTTATAATATCACCCACTTAGTTAAGACATGCCTAATGGAGTCTTTCAGCGAGCCCACAAATCTCAAGCAATTTTCACATGCCAATCCACAGAGCCTGCAAATACACGCAAACCCTTAAGGACAAATTGTAAACCCTGTAAAACCGTGCTAGGGTTCAAAACACACTGTTTATGCCTTGAGTTTTTGACTGACCGCGAAAACTCGTGCTGCACTGCAAGTAGTGGACGGTCTTCCGTGTAAATAACCTGCGTTCAAGCAGATGCACTTTAAGCCAGGAAGCGTACAATACAAAAGGCCGGCTTGAAGGCTTAATCATGAACACATTCTGGGTGATCCAACATTTCCGTAATGTAGTGCATGTCTAACTTAGTCGCCCAAAGCTGGTTATGTGGAAAGCTGCAGCGCGAACTCTACTCGAAGCGAAAACTGTAGCTAGCTGCACCACCGAATCGAGCTGATGGCCGCAACTGGTCACGCTACCATATGCTTTGCGGGCTGTGCCTGACCTCCGCTGTCTGAATAGCCTCAGAGGCAACGAGAGCCTTTCCTTTCTTTGGGCCCAAATATTCGACGTGAACTTTGGGCAATCGCAGCTCCGGCCGATGCTGCTGCAGCCGGTGTGCCTGCTGTCGTCGGTGTAGCTGTTGATCCTCCTGCTGCCGTTTTTGCTGCTCTTGAGATCCCGTCTGCTGCTTCTCCTCTTCTGGTTGCTCCTGATTCTCTTGCTGGTGTCGACCTCTTTTTTGGCGGTTTCGCCGGTGGCTTTGCTGCGGGCCCTGCCCAAATGCCATTATTCTACAAAGGCCAACAATTCGCCAAGACCAGTGATATCTACGCTTTCGCTGTCTCAGCTGCTGTTATTACTGCTGCTGCTGGAGAGAACAGTGGGGCCGCAGCGACTGCAGGCCGGTGGCATGAGGCGTTGAGCTTCCTTCGTGGCGCTAATTGCTGCACCGGAAAGTAGCAAATCAGGTCTTTCTGTTGTAGAGCCAACAACACGCCAGTAGGGGGGACCCTTCTGTTGATCCTGTCATTGGTTAGGGACTCTGAAGATGCATAAATCAAGTAAACAGAACAAATACCCGGAAACTGACAAGTTGACAATCCGCGCCATTATTTCTTTGCCTTGAGGGCAACTTCACTGGCATCACGGGTTCTTGCCGCTCCCAGAGCGGCGGCAGCGTAAGAGACACCGGTGGGCAGGTAGAGTTGCGAAACTCTGCAGCTTTAAAATAAGTGAATGAATTGGCTACAAGGGACTTTACAGTAGTCCTGGGATGCTGTGATTAGACATTGAGCTGTACCCATGCCTCCCTAGTCCGTGGCAACCGGAGCAGCTGAGACGTTTGTAAGTGTCTGCGTTTTCTTTCAATGAATTCTTTGCCCATTATTCTTTTAAAAATGGATCAAGCGCTTCTAAGCGTATTTTCGGGACTCTGGAGCTCAAAGCTCAAACCCTAGGCCCAAAACCGTGAGAAGTCCCAGTATTACTGGACGGGCCAACGGGAACAGTCAAGCTGTGTCTTGCAAGTTTTGTTCTTCGCACACGTTTGCCTCCGGTATTGTCTTTGAAGACTCGCAGCTGCATAGCAGCTGCGAGACTTGAATTGCCCTCGAATCTCCTGAGGCTCTTCTATAAAGTGTACACTGTGAAGCCTCTGAGATCCTCACTCCTCCAATTTCCAGAACCTGGAACACATGGTTAATGTAAACTCCCAAAAGCTTTAAGCGGCTCGTCTGCTTGCCGGGAGCGCCAAATTTTCCGGCGTGAACAATTGCTTGGCCCAGTTTCTTCTTCAGTCTAGGGGTTAGGTTTGGCGATTTGGAGTTAGGATAATGGAGGGGGACCCAGAGTTTCTGTCGCGCCTGCAGCAGCTCGGCTCAGAATACAAGCGCCTTAAGGAGCAGCGGGCAGAAGCACAGCAGCTAGCTGAGGCCCTGGAGGCTCAGAACAGCAATCTGGTTACAGCTAACAAAGAGCTAGCTAGCCAGCGCCAAGAGCTCCTTGCAGAAAACAAGACATTGATAGGGAAGCTCCAAGCGACAACACGTGAGAAGTCCCTGCTGCAACAGCAGCTTTTTCAAAGGGAAAAACAGCTGCAGGAACTGCAGCAGGAGCTGCAGCAGCAGCAACAGGCAACGGCAGCAGCGGCATCAGCAGCAGCTGAAAAGGATGCAGCGAATCACGTGCTTCGCGAGGCCAATGCGAAAGCAACAGCAGCAGCTGCTGCAACTGAGAAACGGCTCGAAGAAACTCAGCGAGAAGCTGCTGCTTTCCGGGCGGAGGCAGAGGAGCAACAGAAGCAGTTGACTGAAGCAAATACCAAACTTAACCTTGTAAGCCAAATACTCTAGACCTTATGCAGCAAAGCTTCATATTCAAGCACAAAAGCATAAGACGGACTCAAAATTGGTGAACCAGAACTACAGAGTCCTAAATACTGAAAGCCAAAGGCCGTGGGATCACTGCAGTGTTCATGGCCAAGTTCTCGTGGTCTGTGCTATAGTTCTCAGCATTTGAATTTTGTCCTGCAGGAAAACAAAGAGCTTGCAGATAAGAGTAAAGAGTTAAATGACCGAAACAGAAATCTCCAGAAGAAGAGGCAAGAGCTTCTTGAGCAGGTACGTACTAGACCCTAGATTATACAGTGTACACTACGAATCTTCCACCCTCTGCGGTTGATCTCTAGCGATAAACAGCGCATATGGTGGATGAAAAACGGATAAATAAGGGTGCATGACTGAGGACTGAGCCATGGAAATTCATGCTAGCACCTTAGTCAAGCGCGCCTACAGTTGCCTTTGCACTGGATACAACACAAACGGTCTTTTGAATTGTTCACGTACCACGCTTTTTTGAGCAGTGTCTACAACACTACTGAGGTACACAGAACAATAGTGCAGAGCGACTGAAATACACAGGAGAATTGCTTAACAAGTGGCTTTATGATTCAACGAGCAAATGCAAGCACTTGCCACCATAGGCCGCGTCGCCGCCGAACATACTCTCATCGAAGGCCTCATATTTTCAGTGAAAATGCTTAGGACACTCATACGAGAAACCCACTCTGGAGGACATCTACGTCCACGGGTGGCTGCTCGTTCTTTGGGGTTTACCTGCAGGTCAGGACCCTGGAAGCGTCACAGCGGCGCAGCGTTGAGGAGCAGCAGCTACAACAACAGCAACTACAGCAGCAGCAGGAAGAATTACGGTCACTGAAACAAGCAAACAGATCGTTGCTCGCAAAAAGTAAGCAGCAACAGGAGGAGAGACAGGAAGCTCTAAAGCAACTACGGCAACAGCTGCAGGAACTGCAGGGCCAGCAGCAGCAGCAGCAGGAACTAGTTGAAAGACGCACCCAGGAAGTTGCTGCTGTAGAAGCGCAGCTGCTTCAGCAGCAGCAGGCCTCCGCAGCTCAGACAGACCTGCTTCAGCAGCAAATAGAGCAGCAGCAGCAGCAGCTCAGGGCTGCCCTGGCGTCAAACACAAAGGCAGTCGATGATCTTAACACTGAGAAAGCACGTGCAGCCGAGGACCGCATGCGTTACGAGATGCAACTGCAGCAGATGCAGCAACTGCAGCAGGAAACAGCGGAGGCAGCAACAACAGCAAATGAAGAACAGAAGGAGGCAATGAGCAGAGTAGAGGCGCTCTGTAGTGAACGTCAGTTGGCGTACGAACATCTCGAACCGCTTTTGCGACAAGTGCATCGAGGCAGCAGCTTCTGTAGCAACAGCAGCAAAAGAAGTGACAGCAACGGCAGCCAGCGCAGCTGCAGCGATGACGAAGATGATATAGAGGGCCGGCGTAACGGTGCCTTAGCTGCAGCTGCAAGGCGCGCTGCTGCATCTTTTCTGCGTCTACAGAACGAACACGAGAGGGCCTGTAGGGAGACAGAGCACTTGAGGCATCAACTGGAGCAGAAGCAACAGCACGAACACAGATTACAGCGGGAATTTCGAATAGCGACGGAAGAAATTCAAAAAGCGTTGCGAGAAAAGCGGGAGCTGGCTTCGCAGTACATGTCACTTGCACAGGTATGCTTAGGGGTAGGGTCATTTGAGACTTTGCGCAGCTTTAACAATTATTGTCTTTGAAGAGGATATATAAACGAGCTGCTTGCACTGTGCCGTCCACTCCATAGTGTTTTTGGTTATGACATCTCGGTTGAGGACACTGTGTCTACAGCTGTGCGCTGCTGTGTGACTGCAGGGGCTGCAGCAGTTGGCTCGGCAAAGCGAATCTCTCGCGGTTTGTCCTTTGTTAGCGTGTCTGGATGAAAAGGAGCAGCAGCAACAGCATCAGCAAGGAGCGTGCCTGCTGCCAGTTAGAATGATATCTGCGAATTCTCAAGTGCACGCAGCACCAGATTGGGGTCCCCCCTCGGCCAGGACGTCCACTGCTGACAGCTACGCAATTGGCTCTCCGCATGACTAGGCCTGGAAATTGGTTTGGATTTTCCAGCTGCAGCTGGTTCTGTGTTCCAGTGAAATAGACACTAGCAAAGCTGCATGCTTCAGCAGCCGGCTGACGCAAGGAAAACTCATTGGAAGCAACAACGCACAGAAGACGAAGCCTCTAGCAATGTCGCCACGACCTCTGTGGCACCACGACCTCTGTGGCAAAGCAACCAGCTGGATAAGTGGGAGCGTAGGTGCGGTGGCAGTTCTAAAATGCCTTCGCTGGAGAACCAAGGGGCTGCATCTGGCATGGCATCGCCTTCAAGGCTTCTAGTTGCATACCTACCCAGCTACAGGCCACTAGCAATAGCTGAGAGACAGGCTGTCGGTGCCGCTACTGTGCTATCCTCTCTTCGAGTCAAAACAGTTCGCCCAGCGAGTTAACAAGCGCAAAAGTAAGGTGAAATGGTGCAATTATTGTTGCAGCACTTGTGAGCACTGGATGCCAACACAGGATGCCGCGGCTGCCGCAGCACAAAAACGTGGCTCTTCCTACTGAACCATCCTTGGGAGCAACCATTCCCAGAAGCAGCTGTAGCACCTTGTGCAGGAGCAAGAACAGCAGCAACGAAGGCTACTTTGTCTCCTACTGCCCGGGATTGTTGTAGGCAGCCTCTCGAAGGCATTAGGAACAACGCACAGCCAAGCTCGAACCACATTTGAATAAAGCTGTCTTGAAAAAAGCTGCCTAGCTAGCCACCTGTAGAGCGTCCCTTGCTACGAGTGGAGCTAGTCCGGCTTCGTCAAGTGCCCGGATATTTAGACAGGGGCTGCCTGCTAATACATTCACTCCGGCAGCGACAAGCTGCCCCTCCTAAACGCCGAATACGTGGTGGTTGCGATGGCTGCTTCGTCTTAACCGCCTTTGCAGTTCCCTAGAATGGCTCCTCTGTATTCTAGCTTGTAGTGCTATTATTGTTGTGGCTGCCGCTGTACATCAGTGGAACTGCGGCTAAGGGCTTCCGCCCTTCTAGGTGATGAGCGCAGTGGGGTCGCGTCACTGTTGCTGTCGTCACCTCCTACGAACCCCTCGGCAACGGCGTCTGCTGAAACAGCAGTTTCTGTATCTACGTCCCCCATTCGCGTGTGTCTCCTGTCCTGCCCATCCTGTTCGTCCTGCTCGTCCTGCCTATACTCCTTTTCCACTATGGTGTTCATCCTCTCCTGGTCGCGCCCTGCGGTGTCAAAAGAGCAGAGAATGCACAAATAATAAACTAAAACAGAAGGAACTGATACATGATACTCGGGCGCTACATCTAATGGCGCCGCAGAACACACGATGCAGGGACGAGAAAGTTCTGGCCGCATGTCAGCATTTACGGAAAATGACAGCTGATGTAGAACCGATGACTTGCCCCAACTAAAGGCAGTTGAGGGATTAAGAAGTAGAGGTTAGATACAGCAATTGCCTGCGCAGGCTGACCGTATGTAAAATGTAGCAGCCCGTAGAGAATGAAGGAGATGGACCAAGGAATGACAGTCAGGAAGGCAAGGGCAGCAGCGAGAGCGTTTGCATTGCCCACGCGTAGTTGTTCAGGCATCTCTGACACCAGCAGAGTTGTTCGGAGGTAGCCAAACGAATGCTCAGCCAGGTAACCAACCAACGGGGCCCCCAATATGGCTGCACCACTTCCCTCCACAGCCACTGTCTGCAAGATGAAAACACACGAAAAAATCCCCGACAGAAAGTATTCCGCACATGGACGAAATAGAAAACGCTCGGCAAGCAAATTCACGAGCAAGCACGCATTGGTTTATTGTCGCGCCTCCATGCGATTACACATTGTCCCTGTGCCCCAAAAACAACAGAGAAAGCCTCAGCAGCAGCACTAAAGCCGATGCATGCGCCATCTCGTAAGGAAAGGTGTAGTTAAATCACAGCGTCCTCAGAATCAAAGGCCAGCCCTCACCACAAGCCTTCAAAAATTAATATGAATGTGAATGCAAATGAACAATGCATCCTGAGAGCGTTTCGTGCACACTTCAGTGCTTACAAGGGCAAAGACAGTAGCCTTGTGATTCGGGCGAACGACGTCCGCAAGAATTGGCCGGTTGACTGCAACGCCCGCCATAGATGAGAGGCCGACAAACAGGGCGAGAAACATGAAAATAGTGAAAGAGGTTTCCTCTTTGGGGACCACGACGTACGCAATAACCAGCAGAGGCACGCGCACAGCCATCGCAAATTGGCCTGAGTAAAAGGGAAATACAAGCAAAACCGCAGTGCATTGCTCCTGCTGACTTCCCAAGCAGAGTCTATGAACAAAATATAGGTAGGAGAGAGGCTCTACAAAACAGCAGGCAAAAGAAAGAGACAGAGATGAAGACGCAGAAGTACAAGCAGATAACGCGGGGCCAACATAAGGCAGCAGAGACCAAAGTGATATTTTTTCAAACAGTTCCGCTGCTTGAAAAAATATCATTGCCTTGAAAGGCTCCCAAAGATTCATGGAACTCCAAAAACCGTACCAACAAGAGGCCTCCCGTGCCACGGTGACCACTCGTAGAGTTTATCTCCCAGAAGCCCCCCCAAGACGCCGCCCACAGCAGAGCCAATAAGAAGGGCCCCCATGATGTAGGCTGCCTTGAGGTCAGACATGTTGCAGTACTGAAAGAACATCGTGTTGAAGCTAAAGGCCGACCAAGGGATTGTGCCTACCAAGCCCTAAGACAGAAGAACAGTAAAACCCATAACGGCAACATATCGAAAACAAGGAACACCCATACCAGCAACGCAAACGCAATAGGTGTCAATCAACATACATAGAACAAAAAAGACTACGGGGCTGTACACACGGCGAACGAAAAGGAACCTGGTCTTTGCGAAACACTGAAACAATTAAGACATCCAAACTTCAAAAATAGGATGACTGCTAAGTTAAATACGTCCCCTGGTGTTCAGGACCTGCAGACTCGTTTTTCCCGCTATGATCTGTTCATAGAGGCAGCAGTGTGAGAGAGGCCTGCCACCAACTAGCGAACCAACCAGCTAGGTAAGCGGGGACATCCTGGCATACCTCAAGAATGACAATGAGGACGCTGGGCGTGAAAACGGATTCGGTGAAGACCGCCTTCAGGAAAGACGACCACGTATCTGGCGACTGAGACACCGAGCCTGTGCCCCCCGAATCATCCATGCGAGGCCTTAACACCCGTCGCCTAGGGATTTCCTCCAAAATAAAAGATATTAACACCCCAAGCAAGCAGCTCAATGCACCCACGCAAATAAAACAAGCGCGCCAGCCCTGAAAGGAACAAAAAATACGCATGCGAATCTGCTTAAAAACTATAGATACGCTTGAATATCCAAAAAGACACGCAACACACGAGGACACGTGTACACACAAAGATGCATGTCGCAATTAATGACACAAATGCACTGTTGAAGCCAACAAACAAGCATAAACGAGAAACGTCAAATATCGGCCCTTGTCTTCCTGTGTGATCTTCTACAAATCGGAATACACCACTTCAGGTGAATATATATACCTTGAGGGCCCCCATTTGTACTTGCGCAACTGTAGTTGTTACTACGCCTCCTACAAGGCGACCCATGCTTGTACACAGCTGAACAAGGCCAAAAGAATAACCCAAACTCCGCCGGCGTGAGGTATCTGCCAAGATACTTTGCGATACAGGGCCTACGCTGCCTAAGAAGACCCCATTGAGAGCTCGAAGCAATGCTACCTATACGCACAGTTACACAGACACCCGCCTTCAACCCCTGGTCAAGTACTTTCCCCTAGCACCAAACCTGCCCAATCGTAAGTTCACTGCCTGGAGCCGGCCTTTTGGCCTCTGCTGCGGAATACAGCTGTCGATTCTGAGTTAACCGTTACCTGCCAAAACTCAGAAACAAGCCCTAAGGCTGTAGTGATGATGCCCCATGCTGTGGTTCCAAAGACTAAGAGCCACTTCCTCGAATGCCTATCTGCGAGATATCCCCAAAGAGGACAGAAAATTGAAAGGCATAGGGTTTGAGAGAGAGTGATGTAACCAAGAAGAGAGGGGTGGAATCCCAAGTCGCTCTCCAAGGCTCTGAAAGTGGCTGGAAGGAGCTGGTCATCACAACCGTCTAGAGCCGAAGAGACATTGACAACAAGCACCGACCGGATCTTGAGCTCATCATGAGTTCGGTATTTATCTCGGCCGCCCTTTTCTTTGCTTGGATCCTTTCCCTTTTCTTCAGCAGACTTCAGACGGTTCCTCTCCGTTGCAGAGTCTGAGCCAGACTCTAAACTCACGTCCCCACCGCCCAACACCTCCCACGTTGGTTTGTAATCTATGAAGGGCTCAGATGCCATTTTGCCTTACCGCAGGCCCACAGGCCACGGATTGTACGCACCCAACCTAATGCATGCAGGGAGTTACCCGCCTGCTGTTACTGACGCTTCTCCTTTTCTTGCTGCTACCGTTTCCGTGGATTGGGTAATTGATGAAATGCTGTTCCAGCTGTTTATTTGAGTGGTCGCTTCTGAGGGGATACCTGCGTTCCTAAAACTGTTCACGGTGGAGTTGCTGCTGCTGCTTGTGTGTGTCCTGTAGCTGCGTAGAGCGGCTGCCTGGCCGCTGCAGTATGATCGTTCCCTGCAGGTTCTCCGTGAGAGCTTGCGGCGGGCTATTCATCAAGCTCTCCTCAAAAGCGACGCCATTCACGCAGGGTAGATGAGTCCGGAAAGTTGGGTAGGCACGAATAAGGGAGTGCAGCTTCTCTGCAGAGCTCGCTGCAACGAGCACACCCTTCCAGGGGCAAAGCGCCTAAACAACCGAATTAACTCCTGAAGGTTGCTGCTGAGTGCTGAAGAATGTATGTTTGAAACAGATGAAACCGAAAAAGGCAAGGGAGCGACGTAATCTTGGACGGAAGGCTGGCATTCATTTCATAAAGACCAGACTAGCCAACCCACAAGGAGAAATGAGGGCAGCTTCTCGTTCATAATGTGACGAAAAAGGGCAGATTCAGGGTATATGTGAAGCATGGGAGTAAAACATACCACAGAAGAGAGAAAAGTAGCAAAAAAAGATGAAGGCATACGCTGCTTATCCTGTCGAGCGGCCTCTGTTGTTGCCTGAACACTTGTCGATACTGTTGCGCGTAGCTCTTGTTAAATGTGCTTAAGTGACTTTGGCCGCATTAATAGCAATTTTAAAACTAGAAAAATTTTACTTTACTTGATTTGGGAAAATCATGGTAGAGCAACTTGCGCATGAAGCCATTGTTAAGCACTCTGAAATGAGCAGCCCTGGCAGACATAGTAGAAGGGGCTGGCTTTTAATGCGTTGTATTGCGTCCCATAAATACTCGTTGTTTCAATTCAGTGAAGCTCAACTGAAAGTAATTTGCTTGAATACAGCTGGGAGTTTGCTGGAGTGTGCTTTGGGCTTGTAGTCAAGACTGGATGGGCACGAACAACTGCACAATGTACGAGTCTGACCATGCTAGGGCCTAGTTCTCCTCAGAACGCGTCCATCTGCAGAACAGCTGAAGCCTATTATAGTTTTATACATACTATCAGACACATAACCCTTCTCCCCAAAAGAAGCACAGCATTTGACGTAGAAGCGGGGTCCATGGACTATACACAAAAAGTAATGAAACCCAGTTCCAAAAAGCAGGAAGAAATCAGATATACCTTAAATGAATTACAATAAGTGTACATGGATCCAGGAGAAAGGGAAAGCTGAAGGGCAAGGGGCTACGGTCAGTAGCCAAGTAAGCAGCACCACCTTGCCACGCCATGCAAAGCTCATTGCATCCAAATGTGAATTTCATTAGATGCTTTGAGCCTACTCAACACTGTAAAACTGCAACACTGCACACTCTGCCCCCAGAAGAACACTCAATTTGTCCAGATGCAGCATTTCGTGGCCGTTCAATGTAGTAACTCTGTTTGCGTCGTGACAGAATAGCCGTTGCGCCCTTTAAGGACCGTATCACTGCAGTGCGTATTCTGGCCTCCTTTGTGTTTGTATGCTGCCACTGGCCCTTGCTTTCTGCAGCGTTGGGATCACCAGTGAGCCGGCTTGCGGTGATACCCTGCGATGACACTCTCGCATGACGAGACGGGAGTGCACGGACAGCGCCTTCCTTCCTCCCGGTGACTCGATCCACTGGCTATTTTCTTTCAACATTTTTCGGGTTCGTGCTTTTCGTTTTCATTGTCGTCCCATCATCCCTTAGGCATCTGGAGAGGGAGACAAAGCCTCCCTCTGCTCGCGACTAACTCGGCATCAAGCTCTGGAATTGCTCTTCTTTGAAGCAGCCAGATGTGCTGAGGACGTAAGATAGTAGTATGTGGCTGACAAAAACTGATTATGTGACGGACGCAAGATGGAAATACGTCTGTTGATTGGCGATGCGCAATACCTTTCGAAGAAAGCTTGGGCTCCTACGTGCAGTTTGACGGCTTTTGCAGGTCGCGAATTGCATGATTCTGCGCAGGAAGATACGTAGAATGAGGGCCTTGCATTTCCGATAATGACTGAGGTTAGACAGCGCAAAGCCCGAAGTTGCGGGTGATTTTTGAAGGATGGCATATCCCACTTTGCCATCATATGGCATTTGAGAAACCTCATGGATAAACGCGGGCTTTTGTCTTCATGCAGGTTCTTTGTTTGAATGCTTTCTTTAAAGTCCACTCACAACGAGTACACCTTCGCCGCCTCCGAGCAGCCGATCGGGCTTTGGCTTCAAAGTAGGAAGGGGTATCCTTTGAAAACCTGAATGAGGGTCGGGATAGTCTTAAAAGCCTGACTAAGGGTCAGGACATTGTCGAGCTCCACAGTAGTCATTCTCGTGAGGCTTGGTTCTGTGAAGGTGCAGTTTTTCGATGGCCTCCACAGGCTGTAGAAAGTTATGTCTTTAACTGGTGGCCTGCAGAAAGAACCAGACATGCTAGGTAAGTAGAAAAAATATTAGCACTTGTAGGTACCTATCACAGTACGAAGGAAGTAGGCACGCTGGCAGGAGAAGTAGGTGGGGAACGTTTTCGAGTGCCGCCATTCTATTCATTGTCTAGTTAATTTTAGTGTGCGAGAGATACTTGCTACTTTACGGAAGGACCTATCGTACGAGTGGAGAAGATTAAAGAAGGCCTTCTGTCGCTGTTGTGACGATCTCAGCTGGAAAGTGCACTTTTCAACTGTTGAGCGCTGTAATGATGAGCTAATGGGAAGGATCAGACGCCGAATAGTGCAGCAAGTTGGTTTCGGACAACACGAGTAATTTATGGCTTGAGCGACAAGGTAGCCCCTTGACTTGTGGGATCTAAGGTGTTGTGAAAGCGGACAGAGTAAACTGCTTCGCCGCCTACCGTACTGTGGTGGAGCTTTGAAAAGAGCGAGCAGACGTATTGGTTAGGCCACATAGCTTGAAGATGATCCAGTGGCCTGAACCTCGCCGCAGATCAAAAATGTTGAAGGCCTCCCAGTCGGCAAGACTACGGGGGGCTCCAAAATATCTCGCCATGATCGTCCGCATGCAGGCACATCTTTCTGCGCTACCTTCATGTCGCAAATATAAACACAGCTACGTCGGATTTTGCTAGGGAAACAGTGTAGTCAACGGGCCCAGTGCTAAAGAACAAAGAATCACGAGCTTCTTCCTGCAAAAGAACATAACTGTTCCTACTCATCAGTTGCAAGAATGAAGGGCGCCTATACTTCATGGCGCCGTCCAGTTGTTCGTGTCTCCCTGAAACACTCTATCCTAAGCGGTACGCTGTGAGCTACGAGCAGTTTACGCGAAATTCTATGTTCTATTCATTTCGAACGATAAATAGAAGCATAGGAAAGACGGCTTACTGGCTACAGAATATTACCGCGGAGTATTCCGGGGGAGACCGGATAGTTGTTCAGACTTCCTCGCTGATACGTGGACTGTTCCGTCATCTTTAACTTTGAAGCTGTTTGCAGCAAGTAAGCTTCTTCTGGATAAGTAACCCTGCTATTTCGATACTGAAGAAAACATACCGGGGGGATTTTTTCAACAATCGCCGTGAAAAGGCATAATGGGTAACCTTGCTATTTCGATACTAAAAAAGCATCCCGGGGGGATTTTTTCAACAATCGCTGTGAAAAGGCATAATGGTTTTACGGCGTTCGGCAAAGACCGTATAGACTTTTGACTCACGTTTATGATTTTAAGATTTAGGGTTTTGGGTTGGGTCTTTGGCTATAGAGTGCAGGCTTCGGAGGTCTACAGCGTACAGTTCCGGGTTTATTGCTTACGGAGTACGGTTTAGAGTTTACAGTTTGTTGTCTACGAAATATAGTTTAGAGTTAAAGTTTATGGTTTACGGTTTAGCGTTAGGGTTTAGGGTTTATGGTTTCGGGTTTTAGGATTCAGGGCTTAGGGTCTAGGGTTTAGGGTTAACGGTTAAGGTTTCAGGGTTTAGGATTTAGGATTTGCGTTGGGTGTAGTACTGGCGCACGGCGCTGCGGCATACGTCGAGCTGCGGCCACGAGGCGGTGGCGCGGCTGCTGCTGGACAAGGGGGCCAGTCTTAACCAGAAAGACGTGTGGGGTTTTGCTGTACTGCACGAAGCAGCCGTGCACGGCCAGCAGCAAGCCGTGAAATTCCTCATCGTAGCTGCTGCTACTGCTGCTGCTGCTGCTGCTGATGATGATGATGATGTTGATGATGCCGCGGCTGCTGCGCCAGGTCGTCTGGGTCCTGCTGCTGCCGCTGATGATGATGGTGATGATGATATTCATGATGCTCGAGCGGCTGTAGCTGCTGCTGCTGGTGTTGATGATGATGCTCGTGCTGCTGCTGCTGCTGGTGCTGTTGTTGGTGATGATGATGATGATGATATTAGGGCTGCTGCTGCTGTGATCGCTGGCGCCAATATTCGGGCTCCTGATGCTGCTGCTAGTTTTATTGCTGCTTTTCCTGTTCACCTGCTGATGACAGTGCTGCTGCTGCCGCTGATGCTGCTGCGCTGAGTTGCGTGAAGCTTGATTGCACATGTGACAGTTTGCTCAGTGACTGAAAGCGACATGGCAAGCCCTAAACCCTAAACCCTAACGCTTTCGGCTTCCAACACCGCAGTAATCATGCGGCTACGACTGTCATTTAGCTGTTTATTGCAATATAAAACAATATTTTGTTTTTGTGTTACTTTGCTTCTTCGCCACAATGCTTCTTAAAACCTTAATGCCAATGTCTGTGCTGGGGCCTAGGGTTTTGGGTTTAAAAGCGGAAACACTAAATCCTAAACCCTAAACTCTAAACGCACAACGGCGCGCCATCTTCTTCGCCGTTTGATTCGGATATATAGCAAAACAGGACTCAGGAAAAACGTTCGCTGCTGAACTTCTTTACCTCAAGAGGATTCACTTCTGCGCATCTGGGGTTTAGGTTTTAGGGCTTAGGGTTTAGGGTTTAGGGGGATACAAATTTTGCCGAAAACTGGCTAGGCCTAGGGAATATGGGCTTGCAGAATGTTGAACAGAAGCATGCAGCCTTGCATCCCAACTACTCAAAACTGGATCCTAAAACCTAAACCCTAGACCGTAAACCTTAACTGTAGTTGCTGAAGCCAATCAACCAGTACGGAGACAGAGGAGTGCAGCGCCTGATTTGCTTTGTGAATATTAAGCCCATGTTTATTTCATTTTATGTGAAAATGAAATAAATATGGGCTTAATATTCACAGTTCAATGTTTGTTCAATGTTTACTACTTGGTTTCATCTGCTGGCAGGGAGGCTTAGGCAGCTCTGCACCCACCGCATTCAATGTATTTTGCGACGGAAAAACACTTTTACAATTAAAAAATTAAAACTTGTTGTTTTCCTTTACAAAGAGCGTGTTTTGGAGATGCAAAGGCATCGTAGATGACGAGCCGATGGCTGCATCAAGTGGTGAGCGCTGCTGCCGTTCCTGTCTCCAACTTTCAGGCTTCCGCTGTATATTTAAAAGTAAAAACCGTTTAGTTTTATTCACATTTTGGATAAAGCAATTTATTTCAATTAGAGACTCTCAACGATGCACTTTTCCTTCGGATCTGCAGAATTGAGTGGCTGCGGTGTCGCGCCATCGGCTCCCTTCCTGTCCTGCAGTACCCCGATTCGGATCTTTGCGCAAATTGTCTCTAAGATGTGCAATTAAACGTTAAATACATTCAAGTTAAATACGGCAAATTGGAAATATTTCAGCAGCCTTGTGTGGAGGGCTCGCAGCGCTGCCGCTGTGCTGCGAAGAGCAGTGTCGCGCTTCAGTAACTTTGGTGTCTGTTGTATGTGCCATGTTCGCGAGCCAGAAATAATGAAAAGAGTAAATTTACTCAATTTTTCATTTACTTGCTTTTGAAATTTACAGATACGGGGCAAGGGGATTAAGCTGCTTCGAAGACGGAACAACCGGTCATACAGACATTGTAGTGCCGGGCACTACAATTGACCTTCGTCACTACCCCCGAGTCTTACTAATGCGAAAAGCATGGATAATATCGAATATCTTAGGCCATAAGGCACC